GATCAGGATGAACATCGGGTGATCATGATATTCCCAGCTGGCCTTTGGAGTCTCACTTGAACCTGACAGGCCACCGCTTATCACTTGCTGTCAAGCCCTCTGATACGGTCTTGCGCTTGAAGCAGCGCGTAATGCTTGTGGAGCCAGTTTCCTTCCCGGAACAGGCAGGATGTGAGAAGAAACGGGCAATTCATAGCTGATGATCCTGGAGATTTAAGGGTGCTTAACAGAGGGCCTTATGAAGGGGTGCTTGACCAACTATTGCTCAGGAGCTTATGCAGACACCAAAAGTATTCCAAAAGTGAAGGGGCAACTCTGGGTGGGCATGGCGGGCACCCTTAGGTCCCTTAAGTTTCCATCGAATTGTAGCCATGTTAGGCTGTTAGTGTTTGGATCCCACGCTTTGGACGCAGTGTGCAGGTTTTGCTTCGAGATGGGGCAACACTCCATGACAGCCAAAGGCCGACCAACATTTTGAGACAGGGTTCGTCGGTTTTTTTTTCTCTCTTTTTCAGAAGAGGTACTCATGGGGGGTGGAGACGTGCATGTTGTAGAAATGCGTGTTTTTTGGCTCTTTCTGATCAGAATGTCTCCATTTGCTCATCTACTTTCACTTCACAGACTCTTAAAATGCTACTTTCAACCAAAAGTGCCAAAACCAATGGAAAAAAGGAGAAAACACAGTTTCACCCCATATCCCCTGTCCAGCTTCTCAGACCCTCTCTATGGGTCTTCTCTTTTTGTTTTCTCGAGGCTTTTGCCAGTTTGTCAGTCCAACAATGCTAGTTGCTTATCTTATATTTGTGTTTTTGTTCATTCAAGGATGCAATACCCCTAGCAGGAAGTGTACAACCTATAGCTGGAGAATACAACCAAATTTTGTTCAATACAGCCTACAGCCCACTATCTCCTTTGAACGGGGCAGCAATTGTGCAGAGCATGCAATAAATCTTTCAAACATGTGCTTGTATTTTTACATTTTCACAAAGGTACAGTACACAATTCACTGCAGGAAGCAGGGTTGTTTTCAAGATGCATGATCTTCTCAAAAAATAAACTTGTTCAATGTTCAAGATACAGCGGTCTTTTCAAGAAGTGCATGTCTCAAGTTTCACTTGCGCTTTCATGCACAAAATGTATTGTTTCGCTGCAAGTGTGTTACTTTTTTTCAACAAGGCAGCGCTTTTAAGGCAAAATATCATAAAATATCGATGATGCCTGGAAAAGGTCTAGATTCAATTGTAGTTAAACTATTCACCCCGCTTCGCGTGGGGTGGCCGCCCACACCGCAGGTTTATTTCGGTCCGTGAGAGGGGCTAAGGGTGGTTTTCCCCCGTGGGGGCTCTTCAAGCTAAGAAGTTTCAATAAGAAATCCTTCCAAAACATTGTTTTTGACAGTGTTTTTCCAATGTTTCCAGTCAAACAGACGGTAATTTACACGTTTTTTGCCATAAAGGCAGTAAATCCTTCCAAAACATTGCTTTTGACAGTGTTTTTGTAATGTTTCCAGTCAAGCATACGGTAATTTACACGTTTTTTGCTATAACGTCAGTCCAAAACACTTGTTTTTGCAGTGTTTTCAATGCTCTGGCATCCAAAAACCCTGCAAAATCTTGCTATGTACAATGTTTTTTTCATTTTTGGCCGTTTTTCCATTGCCGGAAAGCTACCAAAATGACCCAAAATTCCATTTCAATACCCTCTTGCGCTCAGACACCCAAAAATCCTCGAAAAATGTCGAAAACACCACCGTATTCTGGTCTCGGTGCGAAACCGTTTTTGGGGTCTGGTCTCGGTGCGAAACCGTTTTTGGCCCCCCCCCCAGCTAAAGCTGATATAGCGACTGCTATATTAACAAATGTCATTGAGCATTTAGTGTTGCTGTTGCCCCCCAATAAGCACGCCTTCACCGCCAAAGCGGTGTGGGCGGATTTTTTGAAGAAGTGCATGTTCAATCTGGACATGTTCTTTCTTGAAAAGCATGCATGAACAGCATGAAAGGATGCAGAACACTTTTTAGAAACTGCAGAGTTTGCAGCTGGAAATTGCACTCATGTCTGTTCAATATCAAATACATATTTTTCGAGAAACATAAACTATTGCGGGAAAAAATGTCAAATAGTGTGCTGTGTTATTCATATAATATTATATATATATGGTAGCATGTGCAACAATATAATGCAGAATTCATTGCAAGCATCAAGATCATTGTATATAGACATTTTTTCTTGTCCAAATGCTAAACAAAAAACTAAAGCATTCTTGGAAAGAGACAACATCTCTGCAGAAAATGGACTATTTTGGTCAGTCGTGTGTTGTTCACTTTCCAAGCACAGTGTCAAAACCATTGATGAAAGCACATTTCTTGTAAGTTTACGTTATTTTTTGAAATGTTTTGTTTGAAATGTAGCATGCCCGTCTTATAACCACACCAACTCATGCATAATGATGCAAAACCTCGTAAAATCAGACGCATACCTGCTCTCTTTTTTTTCCACTATCCGACTGAAGTCGATCAGCATTTTGAATATCCAGAGCTGGGTGTCAGATATTGCCATTAGCATTGACACCTCTCTAGGCTTCAGGAGTTGGGCTTGAAGGAGGGTGAAGAGCTTCACTTCAACGTCACCGCGACGATTGCTGTCTTTGTGCAGCAGCTGGTGGATTTGCTCGAGGCAGGGCGATGCTGACAACTTTGGGAGGCCAGGTATAACATGTGGGGCAACATAGAACTCTTCAAGGTTGTTTGCCTCATTGGACACGCTTGGACTGGCACTTCCGGCTTGAACCCGCGATATTTCATCAACCGGTTATTAAGAATTTGTCAAGTCTGCAGATTCATCATTCAACATTCAACCATCTATTTCTTGCGGTTCATATCCACATTTTCCATGTCAACATTGCCAAAAATCCGAAGCGGATTCAACAACCCCCCAGTTCAGTGACCAAGGATCAATTATTGAGATTCGCCCTTACAAAGGTGTTTCAGTTGGTGGTTAAGATTCAGGCGATATTGGGTTGGCCACCTTTCATGACACAAAGGAAGCACGGAGGCACCATATTGTTGACATCCAAAGCTGTTGCGGCCAGAGAAGTCATATGGAGTCCGAGTTACCAGATATCATGAGATATCATAGCCAACAACACACACAATGACATAATATGTATATACATATATATATATATATATATATCTATATATATATATATGTGTAGATAAAACTATATGACCTTACCCCTTACCAATAAACATAGCAATTTCGGGATTGTTATATATATATATATACACCAAGCATTTAGCGGGGATATTTAATAACCACTGGATAATGTCTGCCTTTAAAGCTTCAATTACCTAAGCGCAGTGCCCCAGTACTGGTAGAAATAGTTTTGTAGTACCCCCTGGCTGGTGACCTCGGCGGAACAAAATGACTGCGCTCCCCACTAAACCAGCTGTCAACACAAAATCACAACCGAACCAGCCACATGCCAGTCCGACGCCTCTTCTTTTTGGTGGCAACATCCCCGTTTTTCCAAGCACCTCTGCCACTTACCACTAGTGATCATCGGCTACTAACTTACGTGGTACCCAACAAAGATTCACAGTCACCCACATCAAAGCCAACATCCAAGTTGATATATTACTACCCATCCAAGTGGTTGACGCAGCTTTTATCACCCTTTCTCGATCAAATCGACTGAAATTGGAGGAATCAACCAACATCAATAATTCGTCTACTTAGCTAAGTCCACTCCAAAAATTGAGCTAAGCCATGCTAAGCCCACTCTTATACTACTCTTACTACCTGGGGTTGTAACCCTCTAACCATCAACCATCAAAACCATCCTCAACCAAAACCTGCGCAGTTGGAAGGCGCAGGCACGCCCAGTACCGGCTACTGAACTTGGGATGCTGTACAGCCACAAATGCGGAGGGAGCCTTGGCAGACAATTGGATAAGAGCGGTTTTGTTAGTTTTGTTACACAAAGTCAAGTTATGTCAAATTTGTTTGAATAGTGAACAGTTGAGCACCCTTCTTTTGGCCCTGACTGCACTGGAGATGCTTGTATTGATTGGACGCGGGTGCTAGTCTCTCTATTTCTTCTTAATCTTTGGCTTTAGGTGGGTGTGGTGCGCCCTTAGGTCCGTGAAGCATGCCCTCACAATTCTGGGCTGCAGCGGAACCTTGACTGACTTCCTCGCCAACCAGAAACAGTTTTCCGTTCAAGAGTCTGGCCCTTTGGATGCAAAAAGCTGCAAAACTATCGAAACTGGGCTGATAAAGTGGCTGATGAGAGGCAGCTCACAGCAGAAGTATGCTTCAACTTGTCCTTATCCCTTACTAGATTTGGAACTCCTTACTAGATTTGGATGTGCTTCTTTCTTCACCCTAGCCACTTCAAGGAGTCCAACGGTATAGACCGTGGAAAACTCATTTTGTTTACGGTTTCGGGAAGCCAAGGTTTGGTGTCCCTCGCCGTGCCTTGGCACAAGACCTCGACAAGGCTGAAATGCACATGGAGAATCATGGAGAATCATGGAGAACTGGAGAATGCGCTATAATGCGCTGAGCGGATGCCGTGAGATGCTGTGAGATGCTGTGAGCAATTGACATTGAAGCCCATGAGAAACCAATTTCTCACGTGCGGAGATTTTCCAATATCTTGCAATATTTTACTCTCCTTACTCGCGGCAAGAACCAACCGTTTAGTGTACTGAGCGTCTACTGAATTGGACTTCAACAGTAGCTCTTGTGCTGAGGAGCTCCCAAGCCCTGTTGTTGAGACGCCTGTCACCGTCACCGCTGCAGTTGTTGTGAAGAGTACTTTGGGCAATGCTACTTGGATCTACTTGGATCTACTTGGATCTACTTGGCGGAACCTGCAATGCACGGGAAGATAACACCTATAATGAACCATCATCGTGCCAAGTCGGACCAGGCCATTGCCAATGACTGAAAGGTCATGTCAGCGATGCATTTTACATCTCACGACTTCTCATGCGCAGACAGTGCCCGCGATCCCAGGTGGTGAGAGCCTCTGTGGACCTGAAGATCAAAGACTGCCAGACAGTGCAGAGCTTCTATGACCGCGTGGCAGCGGCAGAGCTCATCCCATTCCAGGCCTGTGTAGTAGTACACAGTCAGCGAAGTTTTCAGCCTTTAAGGAATTCCATAAGTGAAACAGTGAGCCTTTACTTTTGGACCTTTTGGAATGCCATAAGTGGAAGATGTGTATCGCGGAGCCGGCTGCATGCTGCTTTCTTGGAGTGTTTAGCTAGCGCCTAGCCGCCTAGCCCTTAAGTGAGCTATACCTTGCCTGGTTAGGCGTCCAAAGTCTCTCTCGATGGACAAGTCCTTGAAGGTGCGAATCTATGTGAAACGGAAAGAAAACGGAAAGTTGAGAAAGCATGAGAAAGCTACATTGTATCAACTTGTTATAGCTGTCAATTTCACCAGAGTGGCACCAATACTTGACCAATTCGCTGTTTTCTTCACCGTTTTCTTTTTGATGTGTTTGGTTGCGTTTGGTGCTGTGATGCGAGCATGCTGAGGGCATCACCAGCTCAGCTCCTACATCAAGCAAGGTGCAACTGTGGAAGTCTGTGTCAACATCTCCAAGGAATCCTTGCGGTCCTTGCGGCGCGTGGCCTCATAAATTGCATGTATAGTTCGTATAGTTCCTCCTCTTTCCCCAGACCCAATGCCTGCGGAATATCAGCCCACAGAATAGCCACATTTCATGGTGCGAGATGACTCATGTGCACATCCAGGACATGCTGGTTCAACAGCTTGCAGGCGCTTTTGGCCCTTGCACCCAACAGTCCTTGATTCATCAATTCTATTGCATGTGCTGGTCACATGTGTTTAGCAGGAGGCCTTGTCTCAGTTCGTATAGTTATTTTGAAGCAGGAAATCGAAGGTCAGCCCGTGTTACATGTATGGATTCAGGTGCCATAGGCTTATTTGCATCCCTTGTGCACTGCAGGTCTATTAAACGGCCGTCGCTTATCTGTCACTGAGTTGGGTGATTTGTACTGCTACAGGTGCGGCTGGTTCAACAGCATCCCGCATGTCAAAGTATGAAAACGGCGCTTTTTGGAAATAATCTTATCAAGGACAAAGGCCTCCTGTAGCTAGCTTCAACATCTTCAACCCGTCAGCTTGACAAAGCAGCATAGTTTGGCTGCATTGGACAGAAAGATGTTACAAATGCGATGGAGCAAGTGTCAACAGAGGATTCGTGATTTTGAAGGCGTGTCACGAGGGATAGGATGACATGGTTATGTCAGGTATGGCGTGCCAGTATCAAGGGCATTGGAGCTGCTTGGTCGTCGAAGCACACTCAAGGCAGGTCTTTTCTTGCATGGCTTTAAAGTCTTGTCTTGACCACCATTGATCAGAAGCAGAGCTAGGCTGGACAACATATGCTGAGAATTGCAGGAGTTTCTGAAGGACAACGTGGAACACTTCTGCATGGACGCAGGCTCTGTTAAAGCACTTTGGAGCATCAAAGGAGCAGCTGTGATCCACTTGCTGCAGAAATTGCCATGCACGTCAGGATGTGTGATGCAAAAGCAGCCATCCAACAATACGACAGTCACAACATTGGGTGGCTTTGTCGGCACTTTCTTCCAACTACGAGAGAACATAAACATATATGAAAACAACTTGGAAATGCTTAGAACAGATGAACATCGTTGAAGATCTTTGACAACGAAGACAGATACAGTATAGCAACTCTGCCGGAGCTGCTACAGCTCTGGCCAGCTACATAGGTGGCTTGAATCAGACGTACCTGGACCCTCAGTCAGAGATTGCTAGCGGCAAGTCCATCCAGGAGAGAATACAGTAACTTTGGTTGATAATCCATTCCTACAGGTATAGAGCTGCGAGCAATTGATGGCAGTTGTTGACATGTTCATCCTGCTGATGCTAGCAAGAGGTTGGTCAAGAGCCCTCCTTCTTTCTCTTGAAGGGATGAGTCTAGGATAGTGGCGTTCTCTGCAGACAAAAGGAAGCCACCCCTGCAAATATTATCTGGATGTTAAATCACAAGGCTTTGAAGACTGCGAAAATCTGACCAAATTTAAGGGTCTGTTTAGGATCATTTGCCGTTGTCTCGTTGGACCTGTTTTGCTTGCAGTAGCCCTGATGAGCTCCGCGACTAGTCGCCCCCATGCAGGACGCTGAAGCTTGCTTGGAGCTTGCGATCAAGTCGGCCACGGCAGGCATTAAGGCCTGGACTACTACACTGTACTGGACTTAGATGGACTTAGCAGTGGGAGAGAACTATGAAAACTTTGAAAGAACATCAGCGGGAGAGACAAGTCAGCCCTGATAAATTCAGCCATGAGCTGTTTGGCTTCTTTGGCTCCCTCAGAATGTTTACCAGCCGAGCACACCCTTAGCGCCTGTAAATACATCCAAGGTCTGCCGGCAAGTTGATCAAGTGATCAAAATGTAGCCGGTCAGATGCCGTGCGCATGGGTTAAGTTCCAAAAAGTTGCTTGTGGGAAAGCTGCTGTAGTTGCTACATGTTGCTACAACCTCCTATAGCCAACAAGAGGTTCCGCTGTTCAGCCACCTTCTATGTAAATCATTGCTGTTTTGCATTGAGCAGCACAGCAACAAAGTGCTAGCTTTCAGGATCTTTCAGGTATGCCGGCGTGTTGGTTCGCACAGCATACCTGGCTTTTTATGCTTGGCCTGAAAGCATCTGAAAGCATTGCCTTGCTTCCAAAGTTGACAGGCAGCAATGGTCACAACGTCATGTTGCACCTATTCTCGGCTTGCCGATTCTTGGCTTAACATGGCTTAACTAATAATAATAATAACAATAATAATACGTATTTAGTCATTGAGGAAAGAGTTGTCAAGAGTTATCAAGAGCTATCCAACATGCACTGCACACCGGCTGCCCGGCTGGTATGATTCTTGAACTTGGGTTGTGTCACGGTGTGTCACGGTATGTCACTATGCCAGGATGCGTGGGAAATCGCACACGGCACGGGAGTTGAAGCGATATATCGAATTCTTTCACGGCTCAAGAGCTGAGATCTTCAATGTGATGGAGCCACTTCAGTTGCATTCCACAGTCTCTCGTGTAATTTCGCTGACGTAAGGGCAAGTTATGATGGTGTCCTGGTTTGATTCGCTAAATCCTCATCATCTAAATTGGCGTCGTCGGTAAAGGCTTCCGAATGAAGATATGAAAAGCCAATTTTCTTCCGTCTTAAGATGGGGCATGAACCGCATCAGGCCTTGGTAGATTCTGCTTCTTTGCTGTTTGATGTTCCTTGAATCACCTCATTGCACTATATTGCACTTAGGTATCAGGGGCGCGGGGGCGACGAAAAGTTCTTCGAGGACCTCAATCGCAACTCCTGCCAGACTTAGAGTGTTGGGTGGCGGGCTGGAACGCTGCATTGTGCCGAATGAATCTGAATGAAAGCTTCAGGGTTGGACAGATTGAACGCCAGCTTTGGAATCGAATCTTTGCGGGCTTGTGTACATCCGCAGGCCGTTCTGTTTCAGTAAAGTCGAAGTTTGCTAGAAAGACTTGTGCCAATTTTTGAAGATCACGGAGACATACAGAGACATCCACATCAAATGCCGTGAAGACATGTGAAGACTGGATGAGCCAGGTTTTTTTGACACATCAAACTCGTAGCTGGGCCTGCAAATGGGATTCTTTTTGTGCCTAGTGCTATCTAGTGCTCTTCAAGAACGACAGCTTGCAAGTTCTTGCCACAGATATAAGCACCTCATTTGCCATGTCTGTTGTGCCATGTTCAATTTGTGCATGTGGCAACGACCACAGAAAGAGATGCTTAAGGAGTTGCGATCCCTATGACTTTGACCAGCAGCTTGACTCATGTTGAGTTTCATTCCCATTCACCTCTATCATCGCCTGTAAGTTCTCGTTTCTCTGAGGACAGGCTCCTCGCAGGGGACAGGTGGCTTTGCTATCATCTTGTCCAGCGACACAGTTGCATCGACGCAGTCAATGTGGAGTGCGCACACCAAGTGGCACCGCCGTTGGATGGAAACTTGCTTGCACTTTCCTGTGCACATCCAGACCGCCCCAAAAACAAGAAAGAGACAAAGAATTTGACAGCAGTGCAGTGGTGCGTTGAACTGTAAGATCTGCAAGAAAGTGTTGGTACCTGTGTGCCCTACACTTGAACAATGACAACAGTGGCACAGGTGAGAAGTGATTGCTGATGATGCTTTTGCTGCTGCTGCTGATGATGATAATGATGATGAGGATGAGGATGATGGTGACGACGATGACGACGACCATGCTAAAGATGCCAAAGATGCCACCGGTGCAACGTATTTAGTGCATTTACATGCATTTACTGTAGTGGACTTTGCGGCCTTTCGTTTCACACGTAAGAGAAGGAGAGCATTCCAGAATCCAAGGCTCAGAAGCTTGAAAGCGAGCTGAAGGCAGAGGCTTGGACAATTCAATTTCTGCAATCAAAGTTGCCCGCTTCAGCTGGGTATGGCTATGATGTTTTGATTTGACATGGCCGGAATGTCGAGCCCAGCTCAGCTGCGCCTGCAGGTGTGCTTCATCCAGATCTCAGTTGATGACCCCAAAGGCATATGATGAGTGTGAGTGCTTTCTCCGGCCCATGAACTTGTGAGAAGCGTAGCATATCAATGCATATCAGCAAATATTCAGCAAATGGCATCACATGTCGAGGTCGCGGTGAAGGTAGTCGAAGCCGACGTCCCCGAACGAACAAGACCTAAATCAATCAACCCCTGCGCATTACATATAGCAGTGTGCGACGACAATATCCTTGCAGTGGACACACGTAGTCGTTCCCTGGTATCCTGAATCTTCACAAAAGAAGACCGCCCAGCTAGAGGCTGTTGACGGGTGCAATCGAATGTGCTGGTCAGGCGACAAGTACTTGGCCGACTTGGCCGCTTTTCGTGGCATGGATTTGAAGGAAAGCCAGGAGCTGATCAATCACTACCAGGACCATTCGGATACAAAGGGTGCTGCTCTCCATTGCACATTTGTGCACATATTATATATGCGTAAATTATACGTATATTAACGCATATCAAGAAATACTAAGACTTAAGCCATCCTCTTGTCTGAAGGTGGTGGCTCTCTTTGAACGTTGAAATCTTAGACTGTGTGTGGATGTTTCAATACCGCGATGCGGAGGATCACTATGTGCCAATCCAAATGGATGGCTCAGAAGACGGCACCCCTTTCATACACATGATGTATCCTGGCTGAAATGCTGAAGTACAGATTTTTCCGGCCAGACTTGCCGCGTTTCTTCCTGTATACATGGCGTACTAACATGTATTCACCACCGGCAAACCACACACGTGCCCAGCTAGAGACGCGTTGGATTCGGTGGTGTTGAAGGTTTTGAAGCATCTCAAGGAAAGATCGTTTCAAGTTTCCAATTCTTGTGATCTGCTTATTAGCTTAGCATATGCATATATAGTACTTCCAAATTCGCCATTTTTCTTCGTCTGCAGTGCATCAGATCCAGCTTTTGATTCTCTTCTGTGTAGCGCGGTCGCTCAGGAACTACACCAAGAAGATGGCAACTCGGCCATGCTAAAACTGGTTGAGGGTTTGTTCCATTTTGTTCCACTTAGACATTGTATTGGCCCTGGACCTCGGATTTGCAACATGGTGCTGAAAAAGATTGAAAAAGTAAAAAAGGCCCAATGGCAATGGCCCCAATTCATCCAGCACTCGAGGTGGTGAACAAGATGATGCGATCATTTGTTGGATCGTCCGTTTGCCATTTCCTTTCCAACTTGCATCCCTTTGAGCACAAGATCTTTTTGGCTCGACACGGTGAGAGTGACCTGGCCGCATGACCGTGAAATTTACCAAATCCGATGTGTATTCATTGAAGCACCTTTGAGCGTTCATCCATGAATCATCATGAATCCATGTTCAACCTATCAAGATCACCTTTGTATAGAAAGATCCTGGAGCTGCTGCGGCGCAAACCAGCAAGGCGAGTTTAATGTGGAAATGCGAATAGGTGGTGACTCTGGTCTCTCCCCAAGAGGGGAAGAATTTGCACGCCGCGCTGCAGAGTTTGCAGCTTGGCTCAAGGAGGTTCCATGGTCGCAGTTTGTTTTGTGATGAATCATATGGCCAAGAAAGGCAGAAATCCATGTTTTGTGTTTGCTCGTGGTCATGATGGAGCTCAGGCAAAGTATGTCGAAACCTGGTTGCACGTAGAAGCAGATGCCTGTTCAATGGTGCAAGAGTCCGCTACTTGTGGCACCTGGCGGTACAGCCAGAGAGCTGGCTAGACTTTGACAACCTTTGCACCTGACAGGTCTGTGGAGAGGCGAATGACTTGGTTTGCGTCACGGTGACTGAAAAAGACGCGCCTTGGCTGCCTTGGCTGCTATACTGAAATAAAGGTCTCAAGCTACAGTCCAGATCTCCAAGGCAGCTGTTCAACCTCAACCTCAAAATTCGCATGCCCGCATGCATTTATACAACATGGCTTCTGTGGCCATCAACTCCAGGTGGTCAGTCTGCATGAACATTTGGTGCAGCTCTGCGGGTGTCCCAGCAGCAAAAAGCTCCGAAGGCCTCTCTTACGCAGAATTTGCACTACCCCGCGTCCTTAGAGGACAAGAAGCTTCCCAGAAAGAGCCGAGCGGCTCCAAGAACACTTCAGTTTTGAATCAATTTTTATGTCCAATTATTGTCCCTATCATATGGATTCATATGGCTACAAAATGCTATAAAGATAGCACCCGAAGCCCCTCCCTCTGGCTCGCTGGCGGCTGAAGTTCCACAGGTGCCTGGTGACCTGTGATGACTGGAAAGGCTTCGGTGATAGCAGTGGCGCAGAGGTGAACAGGTGACTACGGTTGGGATTGGAGATGAAAGCAGATGAAAGGAGCCATAGTGTGATGGTTCTTGGTGACAGAATGCAGTTAGCGTTGATAGATTCTGCCGCACATGGCAGGGAGTTGCCGCAGGTTTCAGGTTTCGGTGGGCGGATGTTTTTTTTCTTGACGCGTTTATTTTTACTTTTTAATGCAGGTAGGATATTTTTTTGATGTATTTATGTTTTTATCGGTGTCCCATAGATTCTGGGGTGCAGTGCCTGCTATAATTAATGAGTTCTCTTGAAAGAGACGGCCATGTTTGACCGAAAAACACGACAGCTGACGGAACATGACAGGTACATGCGGCTCAAGCGTTTGCAGGCAGGGAATTCGGCATAGTTCGGCCAATATCTGAAGATCAAAGGTGGGACTTGATTGCAGCGTCCTCCAATTTCGCACTGTGCCCTGTCAGGTGGGTTGGGGCACGGATTTTGAAGATGCCCCGAAGAACATGGATGACCTACGGCGTCGCTTGAATGGAGCCAAGGCTGGCTCCTTTCAGATCTTTCAGACTCAGCAGGCGGTGTACGCCGGTGCACTGCAGATTGTTAGGTCTTGATTCGTGATGGAGAGTGATTGACTGTCCTGCGCACAAGGTGGCAACTTTGGTGCTTGTTGATGGGGACACATCAAGTGCAGGGCAGGTGTGCTGAGCTCAGCATGGTCCATTCAGTGGTGCAGTCTTGAGGACTCACTCAGGCTTCAGGCTGGATTTCTGGCCCTTTCATGTCAAATCCACACAGAAGCTTGGCACTTCACCAGCATGCTGCATGCTCTTCGGTCTGGGCAATAAGGGTAAGTATTTCATTGACTGCAGTTGTTTTGGATCTCTGCGCTACAAATCTGCTAACGTTTGCCTTCTTCCCGCACTACTCTTCCTTCGTGTGCTCTTGCACGTATATCGTAGAAAGTCATTCGTAAGGCCCAAGGCCCTGGTCGAGCTCTAGATAGCTTAATCATTGCCACGATATGTCATGATAAAGCATGCGATCTTCAATGATTGCATCCGCATGCTTCCGCATCATGCCAGGCAGTTGTCCACAGCATGTGATTCATTATTTTTGTCCTTCCTGCAACCGTCAGACGAACCAGCAGTGAAACAGTCGAATCTAGCTGAACAGCCACAGCCGTGGAGCTGGTAGCACGAAGAACATCGAAGAACCGCTTGTTGTAGAGAGGACATGAGAGGACGCTGGGAATGGGCTTAAGACCATGATGACTTTCTAGAGTGCTTTCTAGAGTGGTATATGGTCGTTACATGTCGTTACTGTATGGAGCTGTGACGTGTCCAATGTGACTTGGAGTGGGATTTGACAGTTTGGTGCCAAGGCCTGGCAGACTGTGGACGTCCTCCTTGCGAAGAACCATTGACACTGCTAAGTTCATTGAGCATCCCGTCCTGACAGGTGGGCGATAGATGTGCTGTCCAGTGGTCCATCGTCTCAAATCTGGTTTTAACAAATTCAACGAATTCTTGATGAAACAACTATAAATTGGTCATCCGCCATTTTGAGACAAACAAATCCCTGAAATCTATTGAAATCTTGAAGGTTTCTTTGGGGGGACCCAATGAGAGTGCATAGACATGGTGAGGCCCTGATGGGAAGCCCTACTTTCAGATGCGGGGGCAGCAATTCAGGACGTTGCACATCGTTGCACATCGTTGCACATCTTCCATGTTATTCCATGTTATTCCCCTGAAGTTCTGACTGCAGAGCTTCCATGCCTTCAGCAATTTGCAGACTTGATCGCGAATATCGGTTGATTGTGCTTGATTTTCTGGTGGAAAGCTGGACATGCCACTGCTGCAATGGACGCGGGTCTGCTTTCGTTACTAGGAATATGGATGAAGTGTATGCTGGCGAGTACGATGGTCTTACTGAGGAGGACTGATGTGGTCAGCCCCCTGTACTGCAGCAACAGGTAGCATCAACAAGCTGTGGAAAAAGGATGAAAAAGGTCTGAGGTTATTGAGGTCGGCGAAGCGTCTTGCATTTGGGATTGCAGGGACCTTCAGACGCAGGACATTAAACAGAAGGCACCCAATGTTATTGAGGACCGTGGCTTGACAGCAGGTAGGCGCGTTTGAGGGAGGTGGTGGTAGTTTAACCGAATTGAACCTGAAAGCTTTGTGGCGATTGTTGCAATTGATGGCCGTAGCAGACAGGCCTAAGCACGTGCTAGTGCTAAGGAAAGCGAGACAAGCTTGGATTCAGATATCCTCGAGGTGAGTCTTACTACGACACCGGCTTGCAGAAGAGCATGTCAGGGATGACAACGCTTGCAAAATCTGGTGATGGGCCTTTGGTCTCCTGCTTGCCTTCCAATTTTTCCTTTTTTGCTCCTATAGTCTGATGGCGGGCAACAATTCAGCGCTCGATATTTCCTTCTTCTGTTTGGGTATGTTTGGGTCAACGCTGGTATTATCTGAATCTCAAAAGGCGTTTGCGGCATATACTGTAAATATATCTCAAATGCACAAAACACGCAAACATGCTTAGGCCCACACAACCACGCTCAGTCCAAGGCATACTTCCACAGATCTAGGTCCTAGGTATTTTTCTTAAGCTTTGAAGGCTGTGGTATTGCATTGTCATTTCAAAGGCATGCGGCATGCCATTGCTTGAGTGAACATTATTCGAATATGCAATATGCTTTCAAAGAAATCCATTATGCTGTAAAAGGTGCAGCGTGTCATTGGCAAGATGCAGGATGTGTTGAAACAATTGTGCTTTTTAACCACTATTTTCCTTCTAATTATTACGCACAATTATATGCTTTCCGTAACTTGGAACATATTATACTTTCTCCAGAAAACATAGCATCTCCTTAAGGAAACCTTAGTTTGCAAATTACGCAGAGTCCCATGCAAAAAGTTAAGGGATTCTTGCAGCAGGGTGCAATGTTCCTTTTGAGGAAAAAGGGTGCACTGAGACGAAGCAATGCCAGAAATGCGCCAATGTCAGTAAACATGCAGGGGCGTTAGCACATAAATGCACATGATATATATATATATATTAATTATATTGACGGGATATAGGGTTCTCACTAGTTGCTACGCCAACCTTTGGCTCAAGAACACCGCTGCTAAAATAGCGAGTTGCATATTCTCCGTTCATGGTAGCGGAGCGATACGCTCCAGGGTCTTAGCAATGGACCAACAACAAGCGGCACAGGTCCTCCAGTCGCTCCAGGAACTACAGACCGAGGTCAATCGACTAAGAGGCCGAGAAGCTGAACTGACAGCACAGGTCGCTTCTTTTGGTGCCGGTTCGGCTGCTTCAGCTGGACCTGGCAGTGCACTGGCACAGTTGGTGCAGTCACAAAAGGAGCTTGTGGACGCCCTTAGATCGAAAGAACAAGTCCGGTTGGTCGACAACAAGGGCCTTGGCAAGCCCGACAAGTTTGATGGGACAGCCGAAAGATTCTTGTCATGGAAAATCAAGACGTCCTCCTATCTTGCAAGTGTTCGCAAAGACCTTCGTGAGATTCTGGTTTGGGCCGAAGATTGCGATCATGCAATCACTGCAGATGACATCGACAAGGCTTTTGGGAGTCAAGCAGATGCCATTGACCAGGTGTCGAACATCAGTGAATTGAGACGCGAGCTTTGGGACGCGCTGCTAATGCTGACAGAGCGTGAGCCCTTTGACATCGTGCTGAACACCGGGGAATGCGGCATCGAAAGCTGGAGAAAGCTCACGCGGAGGTACGACCCATCCACTGGTGGTCGCAAAAGCGCTCTCCTCAATGCAATCTTGTCACCGGCTCGATCCAAGATGGAAGATTTGCCGTCCAACCTGGAGAAGCTTCTTGACAGCATCAGACTTTATGAACGTCGCAAAGACGCATCTGGCAACCGAACGATGTTGGCAGAAGACATCAAGATCAACGTGATTGAACGATTGGTGCCGGCAGAGCTCGAGCGTCATCTCGTTCTCAATCGAGATCGCTTCAAGACGTTCGAGTCCATGCTGTCCGAGATCCAGTCCTATGTGGAACATGCCACCGGCAACAAGATCAAGGTGGTGAATAGCCAGCCCTACGACGCACATGGCCGTGGGGACGATCCTAAGGATGTCGGAAGCTTTGGAAAAGATGCGAAGGGAAAAGGTAAGGGCAAGAAGGGAGCTGGAGGAAAACCTGGAAAGGGAAATGCAACAGCTGAGAAGAGAACATGTCACAACTGCGGACGCCCAGGACATCTGCGGGCAGATTGCTGGGCACCTGGAGGCCCCAAACATAAGGGGACGGGTGGCAAAGGCAACAGCAATCAGAATAAGGACAAGGGCAAGGGCAAAGGCAGCCCCTGAAAGCACAAGCAGAAGCCCAAAGGAGGCAAATCTGTGAACAATGTCGAACAAGGTGAACCAGAAGCAGAAGACTGGGACGCAGCTGATGGCGACGATGGTCAACAAGCAGCAAATGGTTTAACGCTCTATGGCGTTGATGGGCCACCACATGACGAGGATGACGACGAAAGTTTCCAGGTCGATCCCGAGTCCGAGGAGTCGGAAGCCTCGACAAGTCGCAGAAGGTGGTTTTCTTTGCCTCACCCACGTGCGTCATGGCCTGAAGAGTGGGACGACCCCGACTATGATGGACCGAGTGGATCGAGTGGCTCAAGACCCCTTCGGTCGCTTCGACTGGAGGAGGTCACCGAGCACGAGACCACTACATCCAAGTCCGCGTCTTCCAAGGCACCTCGAACGCCACAGGGAAGACCCAAGAGGGGCAGAAGTCCAAAGAGCTCAACACCAAAGAGAGGCAAAGCAAGCAGATCAGGGCCAGTCACTCCGGAGTCAGCACTCCGACGCTTTCGAATGACTTCGATGACACCACCACCAAGGAGAAGGTTGAGGCATGGGCCACAGACTCCAGAAGAACTTCTTCGTAGCTCTACACCTTTGCCAAAGACACCACCGACACCTATAGCATGGCCTGCATCACCTCCACAACAGCCGATAGCCTCGCCCAAGACTCCACCAGGACCACCACCAGGATGGCAAAGCCAAGTAGCTTCACCCAAGACTCCGCCATGTCCACCACCGGGATGGCAAAGCTCTCAGGTGAAGCCACCACCACCTGTCAAGGCATCATCGGCAGCTTCGACTTCAGGTTCTCGACTTGTCCAGATGCTGAAGGCTGCGCTGAGTTCACAAATCCGCAAAGTCCAAGAAGAAGATCCTGGTTCAGGAGATGGCCAGGCAGATGCGATGTTAGCGGCTTTGAGGACTAGATCTGTCAAGGCACCGCACATCACAAAGCAGAACATCAGCGATCCTTCTTTCCACGACTCGAGATACCATGCCGAGATTGCCAAAGGTGTTGCACACAATGTGGCCTGGAGAAATGAACGTTTGAGAAGACGTGCAATCGTCCACCGACGTGGAGGAGTCAAGGCACGTGCGGCTGAAAGGATTCGACTTGACAAAGAATGGCATGAACGCTTTGACAACCCAGAAAATCCAGAAGGCATAGTGAGAATCGAGGATGAAGACAACTTGGATGCGGGCATCGAGACGGTGGTTGTGGGCAAAGCTGGTCAGAGCACAGTGATAGAGTTTTCAGCGGAAGAGCGGAAAACCTTGAGGCAGTTCCCGGACGACGAGGCCAAGTTGCTGCAGAAGGACCCCAAGAAGAAACCCATGACCAAGCGTGTTCGAAGCGTTGGGTACAGGGTGAAGAAGAATCGCAACCGCAATGTGGCGCGCAAGATGGCGAGGAAGAACCGACCAGCCTTGGTTCTGAAGGAAAACACTGAAGTGAACGCAGATGAAGATGATGATGAAATGGAAGAGGTCTACATCGAAGAGCCTGATGAGCCTCGAGACCGACCAGGCAGAGGAGACCCCGATGGTGGAGCTGGATCGGCTCCTGCTGCAGTCTACAGCTTGGGGGCCTCTGACGACTGGCGAAAATGGGAACGAGCAGAGTTGAACATCGACACCGGTGCTGCCATCACTGCAGTACCACTTGACTTCGCCAAGGACTACCCGAGGAGCGAGTCCAATGGAGCAAGCTACAAGGCAGCCAATGCGGAACCCATCGAAGATCAGGGAAGTGTGAAGCTGGTGGGATACGACGAATCTGGCAACAAGATCCCAATCGATTGCCGAGTTGCAGATGTGCATCGGCCACTTCTTTCAGGTTCCGAGATCGCCAAGAACTACCACATCGCCCTTGGACCATCTTCGGGGAGATTGATCCCAAGAAACACTCCTGCGGGACGGGCCTATTCGAAGGCCATGAAAGATCTGATCCGAGATTATGGCGATTCAATGCCCATTGTGCACAATCGCCGAGGCATCTATGTGTTGGACTATTGGGTGTCACCTTTTCAGGGGCATCCTCAAGAGGAGTAAGACCACAAATCAACGCTGTTGGCGAGGATCCAGCTGTTTCAGCCGGAGCCGATGCCATGGAAGATGGAGGCGATGTTTCAGCCGCTTCGGCCGGAGCAGGGTCCTCAGGCGATGTTCCAGCTGCTTCAGCCGGAGCAGATGCCTTTGAAGATGAAGTTGATTTGGAAATCGGTGAAGAACAGAGGAAAGCCATTGTGAAGAAAGAACCACATCAACCATCCCAAGCTGAAGTTGACGAACATGAAAGCACTGGACATGTTGTCCATCGGAGCTGGTGCTTGCACTGCAAAAGGGCACGTGTGACTGCTGATCGCCATGTGCCTAAGGAACTTGATGAGCCAGAAACGCAGTTGCCCACGCTGAGCCTGGACTACTTCTATATGAACCAGGACCAGGTTGCGGATGAGGCGACCCTTCCGAGCATTGTGGCGAAGTGCCACAAGACCAAGAGATTTTGGGCGAGCGTTCTCCCGGGAAAAGGGGCGGATGCGTTCGCAATCGCGTGGCTTGGGGGAGTTTTGGATGATGCTGGTTTTAATAAGGTAATCCTTAAGTCTGACGGTGAACCCTCCTTGGTATCCCTTAAACAGAAGGTTAAGGAGATAAAGACCCACATCGAAGTGCACTTGGTGGAAACCCCAGTAGAAGACCATCAAGCCAATGGGTTTATCGAAGTGGGAGTGCGAGAGATAAAACGACAATGTCGTGCTCTCCTCAGCGACCTGGAGTTCAAGCTGGAAAGGAAGGTAGATCCGGGCCATCCACTTTTGGTTTGGCTCCCGCGGCATGCTGCCTTTCTCTTGACGAGATACCGAGTAGGTACTGATGGAAAGACCGCTTTTGAGCGGACCTATGGACGAAAATGGCGGATTCCGCTTGTGAGGTTCGGTGAAAGCATCCTGTATAGGCCGAGGGCCAATCGTGGGGGCAAGAGAAATGACCTTGCTCCAAGGGTATCCATTGGGATGTACGTTGGAACTGGAAACAGAAATTCAGACGTCTTTGTCATGACGGAACGTGGAATCATGAAGGGGAACTCGATCCATCGACGCCCACCTGACGATCAGTTCAAACATGATCAGTTTGACTCGCTACGTGGCCTTCCTTGGAGGTTGCAAGAACGAGAACATGGTGGACTGAGGATCGCCCTTCCCGATGTTGCAGCGCCTCGTGAAAGGCCTGCAGTGCAAGAAGTGATCCCAAGGAACCTCTATGTCACCAAGAATGACTTGGAAAAGCATGGGCACACACCTTTGTGTCCTGGATGTGAAGCAGCAATACTTGAGATGCCAAGCCGAGCTCACAATGCTGAGTGCAGACAAAGAATCCAGATCGAACTTGACAAGACTCCAGAAGGTCAAGAAAGGATCAAAAGAGCGAGAGAGAGAGAGTTGCACAAGGCAGGCGCCCAAGAGGCGCGGCTGCACCGCCTGAGGGTGGTGGGGCAGAAGGTGGTGAAGCTGCACCACCAGTTGTCCCAGGAGGGGAAGTTGAACAACCAGTCTTGCAAGACCGTGTTCCTTTGGATGCGGAAATGGATGCAAGTGAGGCTGTTGGTGAACCACTGGTCGACACCGATTTTCGTGGAGAACTCAGACAGAGAGAACAAGAAAGAGAAGGAAGCCCAAAGAGGCAGAAACAAGAACAATCCCGAGGAGAGAAAAGGAGTTCACAAGTCGACGTTGAAGATCTTTACAATGAATCTTCAGCTCAGGCTTCAGGGTCAGCCGGACCACCGGCACCGGATGCTTCATCTGGTGTTCCGGAAGGTGCTGCCGCTGCACCAACAAGTCCTGAGACAAACCAGGAGATGCTACATCTGTGTTCCTTGCTCAAAGATGTGATCGCAAAAGGGAAGGTTGCTGAGATCTTCTCTCCACCGCGTGTGGCTGCACAAGCCCAAGTGGTCGGGCTAGCACCTGGCTTCTCGATTGACTTGGAGACAAAGCGTGGTGATGGAACTCACTGGGACTTGAGTAAAGATGAACACATTCGTGATCTGTTTCAACTGCTTGACTATGAGAAACCAGAGTTCCTCGGCGGCTCACCTCCCTGTGGGCCATTCTCGAAGCTGCAAAACATTGTGGATGCGAAGGGCAATGTTTCACCTGAAGTTCGAGCGCAGAGACTAAAAGATGGTCGCAAACATCTGCGCACGGCAGTTTCAGCGTATGAGCATCAAATGAATGCTGGAAGGTACTTCTACCATGAGCACCCTAAAGGGGCCGCTTCGTGGGAAGAGAGAGCTGTGAAGAGACTGAGGGCAGATGAACGGGTGTATGAGGTCACTGGACCAATGTGCCGTTGGGGAATGAAGGCCGCCGATGGCCAAGGTGAAGGGTCAGTGAAGAAAGAAACTACCTGGCTCACGAACTCTCCAATCCTGGCACAGACCCTACAAGGGTGCTGTTCAAACAAAGAAGGCAAAGTTTGGCACCGCCATGTACATCTTGTTGATGGACGAGCCCGAGCTGCCCAGAAATACCCACCAAAGCTTGTCCACGCAATTCTCAAGGCCATTAGGCGCCAACTGGAATGTGATGGAGAACTACACTCACTTTCACATGGCCCAGTACCCGATGCTGGACCTGTGATCAATGAAGAGGAGGAGTTTTGGAAGCAGCTGCCCGACAGCGATGACACCATCGTGGAGCCAGTGCTTGACGCACACTCCGGTGCTGTCTTGGATGTTGACAAGGTCAGAGCTGCTCGACAAGAAGAACTAGCATGGGTACACAAACAGGGTATCTATATCAAAGTTCCACTCACAGAAGCCCAACAGTCTGGAAAACCGGTCATCACCATGAAATGGATTGACAGAAACAAAGGGGATGCAACACACCCCAACTACAGGTCACGTCTGGTCTGTAGAGAGATCAAACGGGCCAGCAATGCTGACTTCATTCCGGACTATGCGTCCTTCAGTTCGATGCCGCCTTTGGAATCGCTGAAATTGCTTCTATCGCTTATGGTGACTTTGAGACGATCCAAGTCTGGCAATGCACTGAAAGTTCGTCTTCTTGACATATCACGCGCTCACTTCTATGGAGAGGCAGAGCGTGATATCTTCGTGCAGTTACCTGAAGGAGATCGACAAGAAGGGTTTTGTGGCAAGCTCGTTAAGAGCATGTATGGAACACGCGATGCATCAGCGATCTGGCAAAGATCATATACAGAACTTCTCATCCGAGCTGGTTTTGCCAAGAATCAAGCTTGGCCATCCTGCTTTTACCATGAAGGTTACGGTGGTATTCGAGTTCTTGTACACGGAGATGACTTCGTGGTGCTTGCTGATGATGCTGGACAGAAATACCTTGAGGACACCTTGAGGTCCAAATATGATCTGCGGGTCGATGGATCGATCGGTCCTGGAGAACGGCATCAGCAGTTCGCAGTGCTCAATCGAATCGTGACCTACAACGAGCAGGAAGGCTCTGTATCCTATGAGGCGGATCCCCGCCACGTTGACCAGATGGTACGAGATCTAGAAATGGAAAACTGTAAGCCAGTCAAGACACCATCTGAGAAAATGTCAGCCACGGAGGCCAACTTGAAGTTGACCACCCCGACCATCACACCGGACCGTGTAAGTTTCTTCCGGTCTCTGGTGATGAGAGCGTCGTATGTGGCACAGGACAGACCTGACATCGCGGAGGCAGTGAAATGCCTATCAAGAAGAATGCATGAGCCCAAAGAATCTGACTTTCAGGATCTGAAACGCTAGGTGAGATTTCTGAAAGGGAAACCACGTGTACTTTTGAAGTTTGGTCGCCAGAAGTTTGCTGACACGATCCACATGTACGTGGACTCCGACTTCGCTGGGTGTCTTCTTACAAGGCGCTCAACAAGTGGACTTGTGGCAACCTTTGGCCGCCACACGGTGAAGGCCTCGAGCACTCTTCAGAGCACGATCAGCTTGAGTTCCGGTGAAGCGGAATACTACTCGATCGTTCGAGGAGTTTCCATCGGAATGTCGCTACAGGAGATCTTGCGAGGATGGGGCCTACAACCAAAACTTAAAGTGCACACAGATTCATCCGCTGCGCTGGGAACATGTAACCGTCAGGGCTTAGGCCGCTCACGGCATGTTCAAACTCGCTTTCTGTGGGTGCAAGAAAAGCTTGCACTACATGAATTCGAACTGGTGAAGATCCCGACAAAGCAGAACGTAGCTGATTTGTGCACCAAAGGTTTACCTGCGAATGAGATGGAAAGACACATGCAAAGCATGGGGTTCGAGTACTCTCATGGTAGAGCCGAAGCTGCAAAGGCTTTGGAATGAGTGTACATCAGCTTAGGAAAATCCCAGCCTCTGTGCAGGAGGGGTGACGGGATATAGGGTTCTCACTAGTTGCTACGCCAACCTTTGGCTCAAGAACACCGCTGCTAAAATAGCGAGTTGCATATTCTCCGTTCAATATATATAGCTACAATTAAACATTTATACACACATATATATATATATGTATGTATGTATGTATGTATGTACGTAGGTATGTATGTACCAATATATATATATATATCTATAATATGTAATTTTATGGTTTGGAATTGTAATCATGTATACAGTATACACATAAAATACATGCTGTACTTATACATATATATATATATATATGTGAATTCAGCCAGCAGCCAATCAGTTCCATCTGTTCTTATCAGTGTGACAACTGCTCAGCTTGCCGACCTAGGGAACATTTCCATGCTCGAGGGAAAAGGTTGTGCCCGTGCGTGCCCTTGGGAGGGCTTCCGCAACCAAATTGGTAGCGGAGCCCGGTGAAACCGGGCTCCCGCATTTAGGTGCGGTCACCCGCGGTGATTCCACGGTGGAATCCAGACAGCAGCCATGGCGGCTTCGTCTCTTGAGACTGGTGGTTCCCACCGCTATTTCTCTGGAGATACCGAAGATGCTCAGGAGTATCGAAGGTGGAAGAACTGGGTCAAGAACAAGATTCTGACGATGGACAAGCTTCCGACGGGAGCTGCAGGACCCTATGTATACACCCTGCTCACAGGAAAAGCCTTGGAGTGCGTAGAACATCTTTCTCCTGAAGAATATCAGAAGGAGGGTGGTGATCAGACGTTATTTCAACTGCTCGACACACGTTTTCCTGACAAGGACAAGACTGACGAGTTAGGTGAAATGATGAATGAGATTTTCCAGCTTCGCAACAATTCTGGAGAGACGCTGAAAGGTTGGATCGGACGATCATCTGAACTGTTTGATAGGCTGAACCGCAAAACTGGTATCTCTTTTCCGGAAGAATGTCGTGGTTGGTTGATTCTCAATCGATGTGGCTTGACAGAGCAGGAGAAGGCGGTGGTCCTGGCTAGATGCAATGGAAATCTTAAACGAGAGGAAATTGGGAAGGCTTTGAGATCATGTTTTCCGGATATGACCTTGTCAAAAAGGGCAACTGCAGTTCATGCCGTTGAAGAACTTGAGACTGGTGTTGAATCTGATCCGGAGATTGAATTTCATGACATAGAGCTTTTCTTAGCAGAACATGGGCAATCAGTGCCTGAGTCTTTGGATCCAGAAGAGTTCCCAGAGTCAGAAGTTGCCGAGGTTCTTGCAATTTCCTGGAAAGAGCGCAGAGCTGAGATCAATAGGCTTCAGAAGGCACGAAAGTTTCAACAGGTGAAGGAGATGAAAAGACAATTCAGAGTTGAAATCGAAGAGATCAAAAAGAAATCTCGATGTAACAGATGTCAACAATTGGGCCATTGGGCTCGTGAATGTCCCTCGAAAGGGAAAAGCTCTGGTAAAGGGTCAACCAAATCTCACCCACCGTCAACTGGTGCCGCTCTGGTAGAAGCTTGTGCAGCTCAGTGTGATAATGATGATGTACATTTTGTGGCAATGGTGTCTCCAACGTTGACACTGTTAGATCGGTTGCGCAATCGTGCTGCTGCTCATGCTGATGCTCTTCTCGAACCACCGAAGACTGAAGCCCTGCCATCAGAGACACTTCTTGTCTCTTCACCAGGTTTTGGAGTTTTGGACTCCGGCTGTGGTCGTTCAATCATAGGTATCAAAACGTTTGAGCAGTTTTCCAAGATGTGGCAGAATCAGCAGGTCTCCGTTCCTGTTCCGTTTCCTGAGATCAATCACTTTCGATATGGCAACGGAGAACAAGAAGTTTCCACTCAGAGTGTTCGTTTGCCAGTGTACATAGCTGGTCGTAAGGGTACCATCAAAGCAGCACTGGTCCAAGGAACAGCTCCTCTGTTGATTTCCCGTCCAGCCTTGCGGACGATCCAAGCCAAGATAGATTTTGAACATGATCAAATGACTGCGTTTGCTGATCAGAAATCGATTCCTTTGCAGACAAATGAGGCTGGTCAATACATTCTCAATGTGATGAAGACCCAGGCCGATGACCAGCGATCCGATGTTGAAGTCATGACGGCCGAGACCTCCTTTCGAGTTTCAGATCCTGATGTTGAGATCCAGGAATCCAGTTCCTCTGAGGAGCCGATCATTCATGCCGTTGATGTCCCTGCCGATGACTTCCATGTGATCATGAAGACTCAGGAGGACTGGGGTTCCAAAGTTGTGCCAACTTGTCAAAAGAAAGATAGGCTCTGGAAATATCTTTGTCGCAGAGTTGTACGGAACCGCAAGAATCGTAAGATCCTGTTTGATGAATCAGTAACTCCCTATACATGCGCCAGAAAAAACCATGCCTTGCCTAGTGATGTTGAGGCTACCTTGACAGAATTTCATTTTCGAGTGCCACAGCATGTGTCAGGTGACCTGAATAGTGATGAACCGCCGTTCCTTAGTGAACATCAGTGCCGACAAGTGAAGGCCCAGATTCGAGCGTGCGATGCAGTCCAAACGGACCCTGCTGCTAGGCCACTCGTGGTAGAAGTGTTTTCACCGCCACGTTTTGCTCCAGTGGCCAAATCCCGAGGTTTCTCCGCCAAATCCATTGACTTGACCTTAGGTGTTGATCTTTCCATAGCAGAAAACCGTAAGATGCTGAAACAAGAACTCAAAGATTCTCCACCTGACCTTCTTGTGTTATGTCCCCCTTGCACTCATGAAGGTGGCTGGTTTCACTTGAATGCAACGAAGATGGATGCAATGGAGTGCCTCCGACTACGAGCCCGTAGTCGATTGTTCGTGCGTTTTTGCTGTGAGCTGTTTCGACAACAAGTGGCTTTGGGAGGTCGCGCAGTGTTTGAACATCCCAAACCTTCTCAGATTTGGAAGTACCCGGAAGTCGCTAGCCTTTGTCGTAAGCATCATGTTGTGTCCTTGCATATGTGTGCCTATGGTATGAAGTTGCCATCCAGTGAGAACTTTATCCAGAAAGCCACTCGTCTTCTAGTGTCACATGAAGACATGCAGTGCCTTGGTCGTACATGCCCAGGTGTCTCCGATCCTGCTCATAGTTGTCATGATGTTGTTGCAGGTCATGATAAAGAAGTAGGTCGCATTAGCACTTTTGCCGGCCAATATCCCAAACAGTTTGTCCAAGCAGTGCTGAACACGGTGCCTCGTTTTCAAGAAGCACATGAAGTGTTAGCTGTGACCTGTGACTCCGTCCCTGAAACGTGTTGGGATGAAATTCATGCCGTGTCGACCAAGCCAGAGCCTTCAGTCGAAGAACTTAAACAAGCCTTGACAAAGTTGCACCGAAACTTGGGTCATCCGCCAAATGCTGATTTGGTCAGGGTTCTTCGATTTGGTCAGGCGTCATCCACGGCACTTCAGCTTGCCAAAGATTTTGCATGCCCGTTTTGTGAAAGCCGAGTCAAGCCGAAAGCACCCATGCCTGCTAAGGTAGACCGAGTGGTAGGTTTCAATAAACAAATTGGACTTGATGTGAAGTATTTGCCTGGATGGAAACCTAATCAACGTATCAAAGCATTGAATGTGGTTTGCCATGGAAGCAGTTTTCAACGTATGATTCCTTTCTTTGAGACAGAGACTTCTCAGTTGCTTCGTCGGCTTCTCGATGATCACTGGATTAGTTGGGCTGGTGTTCCAGAAGAGATCATCCTTGATCCTGCACAGACCAACATGGCAGAACCTGTTACTGGGAAAGCGGAAGATCAGGGTCGTACTGTTCGACAAATTGCTGCAGGAGCTCACTGGCAACTTGGTAAGACTGAAAATCATGGTGGTTGGTTTGAGAGAATTCTCAAGAAAATCCTTGATCAACATCACCCTACATCGAAAGAAGCCTGGTTGGAATGCGTTGTTCAAGCCCATGTGAAGAATACCATGATTCAGGTCCATGGTCATACTCCTCATCAGTACGTTTTTGGACAGAACCCAAGAGTTCCAACCGATCTTCTAGATGAGCCTCAGAGTGTAGTCCCAGCAACAGTGTCTTTGACCGATCAAGCCATTGCGAAAGCTCTAGAGATCCGAACTACAGCTCGGAAAGCAGTACTGGAGTTGCAAGACGATGTTGCTCTTCGCAAAGCACTTAATGCAAGACCCCGTGTTGTTCATGACTACAAAGCGGGAGATTTGGTAGCTTACTGGAGAAATCAGAAATGGGTTCAAGGTGTTCTCAACAATGATGGACGGTGGTATGGTTCTGCAATTGTTTTGGGATACGTCGGACGCAATTTGGTTTTAGCTCACCGTAAGCAGATCCTTAGATGCGCACCTGAGCAGGTTCGTTATGCAACGTCTGAAGAGCGAGCCTTACTGCATTCGCCCCAAGCTGAATTGCTTGGTGTCAAGGATCTGATTGAAGGTGGTGCTTTCAAGAGCCAACAATACGTTGATTTATTGCCCCAAGCCTATCCACCAGTCGCTGAACAATCCAGACCTTCAGTAGCTAGGAATCCTGAACCTCAACCTGAATCCGCTGAAGCTATTCCTCCTGATGTAACACCTGTCCCGGTGGTGAAGGAAACTAGCCAAACTGTAGTTGGAAGTGGTGATCATCAAGGTGCAGAAGCACTCCATGATTCAGCCAAAAGTGTTTCTAGTAATGTGCCCCCACCAGCACTTCAACCCATGGAGCTTAGTGCACCACCACCTTTGACCTCCTCCAGTCCGGTAGTTTCAGAGTCTGCACCCGTGCCTGAAAATCAGGATTCCCCTGATGGATCAACCTATGGTCCAATTAGACGACGCGTTTCCGGCAAGAATGGTCCGGATAGCCTTTGGAGACCTGCAGCTCTTCAACAAGATGACTTTGTTGAAATCATGCGTGAAGTAGTTCCTGAACTGATTCAGAATATGACAGATACTGCAGATTCTCAATCCTCAGGATCCGGTATCAAAAGACCCTTGGAGTCAGCGGCAACTAGCAGTGCAGATGAACCACCTACGACCAAAAATCGAGTTGATGCTGTCACTGAGGTATTTTCCGTTCAGTCTTTGAATACACAACAGGTGTCTGTGGAAGTGCTCATTGCGGAATATATCAAAAAGAAGATGGCGAAAGAATTGCCTCATAGCAATAATTTAGGGGTTGCCTCTAACACTAACTTGGGTACTCTCTTTATAGGCTGTACCCCAGGTAGTGCACATGTACCTTGTACATTAAAAATACCCCGTAGGTATTGCTCAAAACACCCCTTAGATGTCGCTAAAAACACCCCTTACTATGTCCAAAAACACCCCTTATTGTGTCCCAAAAACACCCCTTAGATGTTGCTAAAAACACCCCTTAGTATGTCCAAAAACACCCCTTATTGTGTCCCAAAAACACCCCTTAGATGTTGCTAAAAACACCCCTTAGATGTTGCTAAAAACACCCCTTAGTATGTCCAAAAACACCCCTTATTGTGTCCCAAAAACACCCCTTAGATGTTGCTAAAAACACCCCTTAGATGTCGCTGAAAACACCCCTTAGTATGTCCAAAAACACTCCTCAGATGTTTTCTAAAAACACCCCTTAGTATGTCCCATGTTGTCAGGAACAAGTTGTTTTTAACTCAAAGAGTTTCCGCTTAGGGTCTCGAACAAAGCTGTTTTCATTCAGTGTTTTTGATCTAAATCAATGTGAGTTTTAAGCAAAAAACACCCCTTAGCTAAGGGGTGTTTTTCGCAAAAAACACCCCTTAGCTAAGGGGTGTTTTTTGGAATTTGCTAAGGGGTGTTTTTAGCCGATTCTGTTGCAAAAAACGCAAAAACACCCCTTAGCAAATTCCAAAAAACACCCCTTAGCTAAGGGGTGTTTTTTGGGAAAAACACCCCTTAGCTAAGGGGAGTTTTTTGGCCATTTTGGGACCCCAAAGTACGCCAAAACCGATTCCTGAAGACATCAGAATTGACAATGTATGTCACCATCCCAGGTGGGAATCCGGGGTGTTTGACACATGATGATGTCAACAAACGAGAAAAGACTCAAGTTTTGATCAAAGAAGGATTGTTTGTACCTCAAGAATGAGGGATGTTTCTAGCCACTTAAGGGGTGTTTTTACCTCAAAAAACACCACTTCACTAAGGGATACTAAGGGGTGTTTTTTTGACAACTTAAGGGGTGTTTTTACCTCCAAAACACCACTTGGCTAAGGGGTGTTTTTGACCACTTAAGGGGTGTTTTTACCGCAAAAACACCCCTTAGCTAAGGGGTGTTTTTTTGACCACATAAGGGGTGTTTTTACTTCAAAGACACCCCTTAGCTATGACCACTTAAGGGGTGTTTTTACCTCAAAAACACCCCTTAGCTAGGGTTACTATATGCCTCGCTAAGGGGCGTTTTTAGGTATAAAGAGTTAGTGTTACAGGAAACCCCTAAGCAATAATGAACCTGCAATTCAAAGGTTGGTTGACGAAGGAAAAATAAAAGAATGGCAAACTTTGTGCAACAAGCAAAATGTTTTGAAGATTCACTATGGGAAGAAAGCTCAGGAAATCAAGGAAAAGTTTGCTCACAGGTTCATTGGCAGCCGATTCGTTTTGGTCAGGAAAGCTCTGGTTGAAGGTGGTCAGATAGATCCCAAGGATCCATCCACCTTTTCTGTGAAAGGACGATGGTGTTTGCAAGGACATTTGGATCCCGATTTGGATGTGAAAGCACAAGAAGGCCGACTTCAATCACCAACACTGAGTCAAATGGTTAGAATGGCTATCATGCAGATTTTGTCTTCAATGAATTGGACTTTACAGCTTGGTGATGTAACAGGTGCCTTCTTAGAAGCCGATCCATTGGAACAACGTTTCAGACCCTTGTATGCTCATCAGCCACCAGGTGGCATCCCAGGTGTCCCCGCAGGAGCAGTCATTGAAATTCTGGGAAACATTTATGGGCAAAACGATGCCCCAGCTTCATGGCATCGCACTCTGGATAAAGAACTTCGAAGCTTGGGATGGAAACCCAGTTGTTTTGACTCTTGTTTATATCAGCTGCGTGACACCTCTAACAATCTATGTGGCATACTGGGCGTTCATGTTGATGATTTGGCTTTGGGAGGTTCTGGTGAATTATTTCAAAAGTCCATTGATCAACTTCGACAACGTTTTCCTTTTCGAAAATGGAGAGTTCGTTCTGGTGAATTTTGTGGCGCAATGTATTCACAGGATCAAGATGGTACAATTCACATGAACATGAGGACGTCAGCAGAAAAGATTCGACCAGCCAATATCACCAAAAACATGAACTCAGAATCTCCGCTGGAGCCTCATCAAGTAAAAGTTCTTAGAGCTATCAATGGAAGTTTGAATTGGTTGGCTTCTCAATCTCGACCTGATTTGTCAGTTCAGACCAGCCTGAGCCAGCAATGTTTTCCCTGTCCCAAAGTCAAACACCTGCGACAGGCAAATAACATTGTTCGCAGAGCTCGTCAATTCAGTGATTTGAATATTACTTTCAAACCTATTCCAGTGCAGAACTTAACAGTTGTATGTCATTCCGATGCAGCTTTTGCAAATGTTGGTGACCATACTCAAGCGGGTTTTGTCATTGCCTTTACTGACAAAGCTTTGAATGACTCTGTTATGGCTCATTGGAATCCCGTGGTTTGGAGAAGTTTCAAGTTGTCACGTGCAGTGAATTCGACGTTGGCCGCAGAAGCTCAATCCATGGCCGTTGCAACGGGTACAGTGGAATGGCTTTCTCTTATTGTGAGTGAACTGTTGGAAGGCCCTTTTGATCTTAGGTCCTGTAGAAATGTGATGCAGAAACGACCACCTATTGTCATCACCGACTGCAAATCCCTGTACGATCATTTAAATAGTCCTTCTAGCCCCACTGCAGTAGAAGACAGACGAACCAGTATAGATATCACCATAATCCGTGAAAGTTTGAAAGCCTGTGCCATGACCGTGCGTTGGGTCCCAACGAATCGTATGTTAGCTGATGGTTTGACCAAAGACGCTGGAGATCCAATCGATCTTTTGAGATCTTGCATTCGTACCTCTAGCTATCAAGTGTCGCCTGAATCTGATGTACTTGAGATGCAAGCTGAAGAAAAACGAAGGCGCTTGTCTCGTCAGCAGACTCAACATGCAACTCCGCTACCAGCAACTGACCTTTCCTGAGTCAGCAGTTTTGTGTACAGTTTTCAAGGGTATATTCTTGTAGCATATAGATAAGTCAATTATAAACCTCCTTGCAGCCTGGGTATGTGAGTGGTCTCTCTCAAGCCTAGAAGCAGTTGTGTCGGTTTTTCCACCAATCTCTTTGCGTTGTAGCGGACGACATGTCCCAATCAGTTGACCTAGCCTTTGTCATGAGTGTGCTCCGTGCCGCCAATCAGTCTGGTGTGCTGAATCTGGCTTTGCAGAATCTTTCGCAGGAATGTCCTGAAGGCTCGACTGAGTCAGATCCGTCTTGGGCTGTTGTGACCAATGGTGTGATGACTGATGGCAGCAAGCGTCGCTTGTCTTCGCCAACCCCTTCTGATGATACTGCGTTGAAGCCCAAGGAGATGCAGCATATGCCCCATGACCTCTGGACGCGTTTGGAGATTCGTGCGGTTGGCAATTTGCCTCCTGGAGTTCCTTCGATGAAAGTCTGGAGCCAGACACTTATTTCGTTTGGCAAGTTCGACAAGGAAAAGATTTCTTATTTTGATTTGGTGACCGACACTGATGTGAACAAGACTGGATATGTAAAGTGGATCCTCAGCCACACGAATGAGAAATCTACGGCCCAGCTCAAAGATCTTCGTGATTTTGTCAAGATGTTTCAGTTGGAAGTTCATGGAGTGGATGCTGGCGTGTCTCATTTTGCTGATGGCAAGATCCGAGAGTTCAAAAAGTGATACTGGCCTATGAAGCTCGGATAGCTTCCAATCATTCTGCATTTTCAACCAATTTTAGAAGATTATAAGCAGTGTGAATTCAGCCAGCAGCCAATCAGTTCCATCTGTTCTTATCAGTGTGACAACTGCTCAGCTTGCCGACCTAGGGAACATTTCCATGCTCGAGGGAAAAGGTTGTGCCCGTGCGTGCCCTTGGGAGGGCTTCCGCAACCAAATATATATACCTTTGACGTCTCCCTTTTCTCCCTCTCTCTCTTTCCCTATATGTTCTTACATATGCATATGCTTGCGCGGCACTGGCTCAGGGTTTGGAGGGTGGGTGAGGCAGAGCAAATACCTTCAACACGTTTATTGGAACTAGTAGTGCGTTTGATGAAGTCGCAGAGGCTGTGATTCAAATTGATCTTGAAATGGCAATTGACATTCTCGGCCCATAAGGATGTGATTGCAAGGTGACTTCCTTGCATCTTCGGTAGACCTGTATTCTTGGTTTATCATGGCAGCTTCGGAATCAAATGCAACCACCGCACGCCAAAACTCTAAGTGAGACCTGTGAGTGTCCTTTCCAGTTCAAATCCGAACTTTTTTTTTTCCAAGATTGATGGGAGATGTTGGAAGATCCCTCATCTTTCGTCCTTTGAGGCTAGAATCTGTGATGTCCCATTTGGAGCGGATACAGCAGCCTATCCTGATCATCTCGCATCAGGCACACTGAGGGCTAACTTGGGACATCTTGGGACGTGTCCTGAGTGCGCGATGAGCGTGGGATTTTCAAGAAAAGGATTAAAAGGATTATCCTTCAACAACTTTCACAACTGCCATACCACTTGGAGGCAGTCCTGCGGATGATGTATGGCTGGCTCATGCACATCAACAGAGAGGCTGCAATTGAGACACAGGCCGGAAAGATGGTGACTGTTTGGGCAGAATCACATAGGCGCCCCAAGTATGTGAACATCGTTGTTCAATGTGATTTGAACTTCATCGCGTGTCACTCCATTGTTGTTGGACTTTCCCTAGGTCTGAACTGCGAGCTTGTACCTAGGACCTAGAAGTGTGACCAAAGTTGCACCAGGTTCCGCAGCATATGATCGTGAAGATCACTTTTGATGGACTGGGAGGTCCTCCAGCAGCTTGGCTGCACGTGCTGGCACGTGCTGGCAATTGCTGGCACACCTGGCCAGCCAATCTTGGTGTTGACATCGTGTTTCCCATCAAGATATATCTCAGGTGGAGAGGCGATATCCCCTTGGACCCATGGAGATGGCTGACGATGGTCAAGCAAATTTCTAAAGTTTGAGCCCCGCTGGTCGCAGCGAAGCTGCTGCCTACCAGATGCCCTAAAACTGCCAAAGTAGCCTACCAGGTTCGCTTCATGGCATAGGAGAAAATTCACGGAGCTTATGTTTATGTTTCTCCCTACATTTTTTGTTTGTTACCAGGTCTTGACCTGACAAACTTATTCAAAAAGGATCCAAGATGTTGGCTTCATGCCTGAAGTGGATGTGGCGGTTGCAGTCCTCCCGACCCTGCACATTTGGCGCAGGTGTGAAGTATTTTCTTTAGGCTAGGCAATAATTTTTCTTAATCCTGGATGCCGTCCTGGCAGCAAAAGGTGAAGATGGTCTTGCTGCAGATCTCTCATTCCTTCTGTCGGCACCTCTAGAGAAAGTATGAGAAAGTGAAGGTTTGTGAATTTGTCGGGAATGTGTATCTGTGTGATGATTGCCCGCAGGCTACGGAGGCTCTCAGAATTCAAGAGGAAATGGAACAACGCTGCCATTCTCACCATATCCATAGTGATTGTTTGCCTTCTTCAAAACGGCCCAAGGGCTTACCAAATGCAAGTGGTTCTTTGACTGATCTGATTTGATGTGGTTAAGTGTTAGTGATACCAGTAGTACCGCACAAGGCGGTGGCGGAAGTTTCAAAAATAGGAAACCTATAAGAGAGGTTGGTTGTAGTGAATCACGGGTGGCAGAGCGAATCCACTGATGGACCGAAAGGTGGTTGGAGTTGTGTTTTCTGGAGTGGTTGCAATGGTTGCAGTGGTCACCTCACCACAACTGCTGGATGTAGTGTGGTGTAGTGCAGTTGTAGTTGTGGTTGTAGGTGTAGTTGTAGTTGTAGTGTAGTGGAGTTGTAGTTGTAAGTTGTAGTTGTAATGTAGTGTAATTAGTGTAGTGTAGTTGCAGTTGTAGTTATTGCGTGGTGTAATTAGTGTAGTGTATTGTAGTGTACTGTTGTGTTGTGTACTGTAGAGTGGTATAGTGTAGGGTAGTCTAGTGTATTGTAGTGTAAAGTAGTGCAGTTGTAGTTGTAGTGTAGTGTCATGTAGTGCAATGTAGTGGTAGATACAGTGTAGCGTAATGTAATGTAACTAGTGTAGTGTTGTGTTGTGTGATGTAGTGTAGTTGTAGTTGTATTTGTAGCTGAAATGTGCTGCAGTTTAATTGGTGTATTGTAGTGTAATTGTAGTGTAGCTGTTATTGTGGTTGTAGCTGTGGTGGTGGTGGTGGAGGAGGAGGAGTAGTAGTAGTAGTCGTCGTCGTTGCTGTTGTAGTAGTTGTAGTGTAATTAGTGTAGTGTAGCGCAATTAGATGTAAAAAGTGTAGCGTAGTGTGATTACTGTTGTGTAATGTAGCGCGTAGTATATTTGTACTTGTAGTTGTAGCAGTAGTGTAGTGTAGTGGTACTTGGTAGTCGTAGCTGTCTATCTATCTAGCTATCTATCTATCTATCTACCTATCTATCTATCTATCTATCTATCTATCTATCTATCTATCTATCTATCTATCTATCTATCTATCTATCTATCTATCTATCTATCTATCTATCTATCTATCATTATCTATCTATCTATCTATCATTATCTATCTATCTATCTATCATTATCTATCTATCTATCTAACATTATCTATCTATCTATCTATCATTATCTATCTATCTATCTATCTATCATTATCTATCTATCTATCTATCATTATCTATCTATCTATCTATCTTTCTATCTGTCTATCTATCTATCTACCTATCTGTCTGTCTGTCTATCTCTCTCTCTCTCTCTGTCTCTCTGTCTCTCTGTCTGTCTGTCTGTCTGCCTGCCTGCCTGCCTGCCTGCCTGTCTGTCTGTCTGTCTGTCTGTTTAGCTGCAGGCTTGAAAACGAAGCTATTCTGCGAGACTTCCTCAATTTTTGAACTTGACAACGTCAAAAACGAAACAATTCTGGGAGACTTCCTCATTTTTTCGACGTTGACAACATCAAAAACAAAGCAATTCTGCGAGACTTCCTTCAAAATGGAAAGTTGAGTGCAGAGCTGACAGCCTCGTGCCAATGCGTTTTGCGATTTTTCCACTCCACCTGTCTAAAGTATTGCGCCTGCCAGGAAAAAGTGAGGCCAGGTCATACGAAGTGCTGCACCTGTCATGCAAAATCATCTCAGCAAACCTGAAGATCCAAAATGCAACCCATCTCAGGAAATCAGCGCCCGGACCTCCTAACATCTCTGATGAACATGAACATGTCTCTTATACCGCGCCTGCCACGGAAAATGTATCTTTGCAGATCTTCTTCAAATGGGGATGCATGTTTTTTGGGCCTGGGCACCTTTTTTTGGACCTGTACATGTTTTTTGGTCCTCGCCGGAATTATTTTGGGACCTAGGGTCGCAAAAAAATGTGGGGGACTTGCTTGTGTGTTTTCTGGACCCTGTGTTTTTTTTTTGACCTGCATGTATTTGTGCTGGACCCAGGGATTGTTTTTTCGACAACCAAATTAATTGTTTCTGAGCTCGGTTTCTGTTTTTGGACCCGTGCACCTGCTTCGTGGACCTTGCCTCCAGAGGGTGGGGGGAACTCCATTGTTATAGGCGCTCGCATTGGGTTGGATTTTTTTGGACCTTGGCGCATTCTTTTTTGGCACCCGTACGCGTTTTTTTGGACCTGGCACAGGGTGGGGGGAAGTTAGATCTTGGAACCAAATGAGCGCAAGAAGTTGTTGAGAGACAAGGGGGGGAGCTTAGACATTGAAACCAAGTTGAGATGCATGCAAAAAGTTGTTAAGAGGCCAGAGGTGAAGTCTTGAGACCAAGCGAATGAATGCAGGAAATTGGTGAGAGGCAGCACAAGGGGGGGAAGTTTAGATATTGAACACTAAGCCTAGACATTAAGCCTAGACATGGCACTTCCTGCCCAGTTGCATGCTAGCGCAGCTCTAGCGCCCTGCTGTCTGAAGAATTGCGATGCAGACGCGGCTGGACAGAAACTGGAGAATCTATCCCAAGGGGGTTTGGGAAAGCGCCAGGTCGAGCAGGAGGGAAGGATGAGGTGCAGCAGGAGGGTGTGCAGGTCCAAAAGAATGGTAGCCATCTCCAAAAGAATTGTAGCAAGGTCCAGTACAAGTGTCCAGGTCCAAAAGAAATGTAACGAGGTCCAAAAAAAGTGTTGTCCCTTCAAATGCCCCACGCCTGCCATTGTTTTTGGAAATGCTACGAGCCCCTCACGTTTTTCCTCACTTTTGACACCGTGCACAATCCCTTGCGCCTGCCACGTGAAACGGCATCTGAACGTCCAAAAGTGCTCCGAACCCGTCAGCTTTTTACATTTTTGACTTGGACATGTGCTTCGCGCCACAACAGCATGCACTTTTTCGACATCTCAACTTCCAAAAGTGGTCTGAGCATGGTGTGTTTTGTACATTTTGACTTCCAAATGTGCTTTGCACCAGAACAGTAACAGCGTGCACTTTTTCGACATGTCAACTTCCAAAAGTGGCGCGACACTGATGTTTTTTGCACATTTTGACTTGGAAATGTGCTTCGCGCCACAGTGCCGTGCACTTTTTCGACATCACAACTTCCAAAAGTGGTCCGACGTTGGTGTGTTTGTTTTGTACATTTTGACTTGGGAAATGTGCTTCGCACCACAACGGCCTGCAACTTTTCATCTCTCATCTGACCCCATGGCTCCGCACCCGCCGCTTTAGCGAGCCTACTTTGCGACCCTCCGGAGCCACAAATCATGGGAAAAACACAGTGTTTCGCGACTTTCCTACCTTTTCGCGCACCTGCATCTTCTTTCTTCTGATTCTTTCTCTTCTCTGATCTTCTCTCTTCTTCTCTTCTCTTCTCTTCTCTGGCTCTTCCCATTTCTGCTTTTCATCTGTCCACATTGTCGGAAGTTTGACTTCTAAACTTCCTTCGATCAGAATATGGCATCAGAAAATTGAAAGTGAAACCCAGGTATGTCGTGCGTGGGCAGGAGAAAAGGATATTGGACTTATTGTGTTCCAGGGTTGTGAACGTGCTTGATTCTGGAGGTCGTTCATCAAAGCATTCTCACAACATCATGGCGCTTCCTACTTGTCATGAAGCAGGCTGTTCTGGGAGAGAGGGTACATCGATAGACCCGCATAAACCACCAGCGCCATAGGATGCTATGGGCAAGTACTTCCACTTAGTGTTTATGATATTTGATTACAGTATATGCCAATAATTAAGTCCGTTGATTGGGACTGTTTCCACCGTCAAGCCTTCCATCAAGCCATTGACTGGTAATTTGATTCAGCAGCAACCAGTCTGATTGTACTGGTCATTTTTTGCATCATAATATGTCACATTTCACATGTTTGTTGCTTACATTATCTTCATAGTGGTGGATGATCAATTTTTGGTTGATGAGGATAATGACAAGGATAGGACAGATTCTCAGTACTTTTTTAAGCGGTTTAAACCTCAAGACGCTTTGGGCACCCCTCGGTTGTTGGGGGCCCGATTTTGATGCCCCGATTTTGATCCCATGCAAGGTGCGCCAAATGAGCATGGTGCCGCCAGACTGAAATTTGATCTGACATCAGTCTGATCGTCAACATCTACAATTTCAATCAGTTTTAGATATCAGCATCAGATATCATCAGATGGCATTAGTCATTGATCACTCCATTTGTAAAAAGTGGGATCCCCAGTATCCATGCGAGTCATTTCAGGTCAAAACCACTTGCCCCCCCAAGTAGGACAATGAGCATCACATAACATCACACAGCATTCCAGACCAATCCACAGCAGGTCGTCGATTCCGTTCAGATTGAGGATATTTAGATAATTTGAGCACATAATCAGTTTTATATTTGTCAGTTCGGGTCATTATCCACTATTCTGTTTATTTTTGATGATCATTAAGATTTGTTTTAACTGTTAAACATTCTTGATATTCTTGATTGTGCAGCCGGTGTTACGTTTCTGGTTGCGAAGCCGAGGCCATCGAGGCGGGGGCCAGGCCTGGCCCGCCCCGATGTTTGACATCGCGGGGATCCAAGGTGGGATGTGCTGGGACTGAGAAAAACAATGAAAACAAAGAGAAACAAAGAGAAAACAAAGAGAATGGACTCTGAATAGACTGAATTTGAGTGAATAGACAGACAATCAATCCATCGATGAGACTAGAGATGACTAGAGGAAATAGAGGCGAAGCTATGGAAAAACCAAGTCAAAAGGGTGTCCCGCTAAGATTGTGCACAGGATCAAACCTGGTCCATTGCGTGGCTTGGATGCTGCACCATTTGATGGAAGATCGCCAACATGAGACAATTGATCAGCTTTAGGCAGAGCTTCCCAACAAACTGGTATCAAACTTCTTCGTTTGCATTGCTGACAGATTGCAAATAGGCAGCGGTATTGATAGCTGTAGACTTCAGACCTCACCGCACAGCCATGGGTTCTTGCTCCAGTTGCCCAGCAGATGATGGATGGTCCTCTGAGCATCAGCAGCATGCCCCCATGTGGTTGGTGAAAGCTGCCCAGGTGCTTGAGATGACAGGCAGATTTCGGCCACATCAGATTTTGAAGGCTGAAGGTCTTTTGGCCAAATGGAGTGCGAATAAGTTTACCATGTTTGTCTCTCATCAATGGCTAGGGTGCCACCACCCAGATCCCGACGGAACACAGCTGGAAGAGCTTCAAGGCTTCTTGCGCAACCTTTTTGCCAAAAAGATCAAAATTGAGGCAGATGTTATTTCGCAATTCAATGGCCGCTCTCCGACAGAAGCAGAGCTTTCGCGTTTCATTTGGTTGGATTACTTCTGCGTTCCTCAAGTGATGGATGGACATGGGCCGAATGGACTGGCAGAGCAACAGTCGCTGTACATTCAGAGCATTCCAAACTATGTGGATAGTTGCAACTTGTTTGTCGCATTAGTTCCGAATGCCATGCACAGCGATGCAGGATCACAGTGCAACATGCACACCTGGCTAACAAGGGGTTGGTGCCGCACCGAGCTCTGGTGCCACGTCTTGTCCACAAGATCCACTCCTATCATTGTGGTCAAGAGTTGAGAGGTGGCGGAGTTCCGAGCGCCATTGTGGCACCGATACCCAGTGCAGTCGGGTATCATCGCCCTTGACAATGACTGTCAATCTTGTTGCTTGGGCTTGAGGTGATTGTTCTTCTCAAAATAAAAATTCTTTGGGGATCTAGGGAATATCCCCCAGCCAAAAATCACTGGTTTAGGAGTGTTGATATTGCAGGGAAGGTATTACTTTTTTGGTGCCGAGCAAATCCAAGGTTGCAAGATCATTCAGAAGGCTTTCGACCAGCATCTCCCAAAGCTTCGGCATGGCAAGAGCATGACAACCTACCGTTTGCATCTGGCACTTTGTGAAGATATGACAGGTCTTGCCAAAAAGCATCGCAGCCTTGAAGAATTCCTTGTGGATTTTTCTTTCTCCAGACCTTTGGCACAGTACCAAGGCTTAGGCCCGGTGGCATGCGCTGCTTTGTCGGGAGATCATGAGCTTATTCGTGGCCTTGCACTGCACTTGCCAAAGCTTCCCTCCATACTCGGGCACCAAGTATGCCTGAGGTCTTCAGCACCGCAGGCCTCACGCCTTTGCATTTAGCTGTGTGGTTCAGAAGCCGCGACCTGAGAGTGTTGGAGACTTTGCTGGAATTACGAGCAGATCCCACGACTCCACCATGACTGCTGCGCCGCCCTTGGGGTGGTGCAGCAGAAAGGGTGCTGTGGAGCTCCTGGTTCGGCATGGTGCAGGGGTGAATGCCCAGGTCAAAGGTTTTTCGAAATTTTGTCCCATCCATGCAACTGCAGCCACGGGAGCTCCATGCGACGTGGTCACCAAGTTGCTGGAGCTCCAAGCTGATGTGCATGGGGGAAAAGGAGGACTTGCCAGTGCCTCACCTTTGCATTTGATCGCACTGTGCGGCGACTCTGGCAACGAACTGAGGATGACACAGCTGCTCCTGAAGAGCAGGGCAGACATCAATCAAGTTTGCCAGCCAGAGGGCTTTATGAGGAAAGCTGAATTGGTTTCCAGGGCTTACAGCCACTGCAGAAGAAACAGAAGAGAGCCAAACCTGCTCGTGCAATATTTCAGGGATAGCAGCACTACACCGTTGGGTTGGTCTGTGATCTTCAGCAATGATGGTCTTTTGGCTTTCCTGCTGAGGGCACGGGCAGACCCGGAGATCCGGAACAACCGAGGTCTCCGACCCATCGACTTTGCCACTTCCACGAGAATCCAGCAAATTCTTCACGACCCCACCACACATATCTACCTCCTGGAGCACAACTCTGAGCTCACCAGCGAAAGTCTATGAAAGTCTATAGCCCAACAGACATTGACAGAGCTCGAACCTGTGTGCTGTGTAAGCAACGGTTTCACCACGTTTCTTTTTATCACACGTTCGTTCATAATGTACGGTGTACACGTGCCCCAGAACGTCGTCCCATTTTGAGATCCAGAATGCTCACTCGTCGTTCTGGGCGTTTCCGAAAATTGCGGGACCTGGAAAACTCCAGATCACAGCCATGGACAGCCATCATTGTTTTGTTTAGCGCCCAATTTTTTGGACTCTAATTCTTGTTGGCACGCGGCGAAATTCTAATAATTATATATATTATATCGATCTAGCCGTAGGGGAACCACAGGAAACACCAAGATGTCCACCGTCCCAACAGGCCTAGATCCCCAAGCTGCGTAGCCCACGAAGTCTGCGGCAGCGATGTCCAAGTCCTTTTCCGTCACCAGGAAGCGGTAAGTCCGCGAAGTGCCATGCGGTAGCTCCAAGGGGCCCCTAAGTGGCAGTTGGGCCAGATGGCCACAAGTCAAAGACCTTAGTCCTTGGAGCACCTGCGAGATGGCAAATGTGAAAACATGACAACAGCATGAGCTATGTTGACACAGGCCCAAAAAGGAAAAATTGGGACACTTTGCCATCTGTACTGCTCAGCTGGAAAACCTAATGCCTTGCCAGGCGTTGAATTTCACATCCTACCGTTCGAATTGTCAGCAGCTCGGCACGGATGATCTGCGCTTCGTGCGCCAGCTGCCCGTTCATGGCCTCGTAGGGGATGCCCAAGAGCAATGAGTCCTCCAAGGCTCGCACCATCGCTTCTCTTTGAACTCGCCCAATTCCATGCCACTCAGCTGGCTCGACTGGGACCTCAGGTGCGTCCAAATCGCCCCTCAGGACCTTCTGGATCTGCTCTGCAGACATGTAGTCCTCGATGGAGGGCTGCAAGGTCGCCATGAACCTCTCACGGATGTCGTTCACCTCCTGGCCGCTGAGCACCTCAAAGCCATAGGCGACCAAGTGACGAATCTCTGGTGCTGTCAGACGTCTCACGTCTGGCCGAATTCCAGGATCATCTTCCGCTTCGGGAAGCTGTTCCACTTGTGGTAGCTGAGCAGGCTCCTCATCAGTTGAGGATGAGGAATCTTCTGATTCACTTCCAGTTTGGACATGATTGTCCACCAAACCTTGTACTTGCGCTCGTCCATGATGTAGTTGTTGCCCTTCTCGATGTCCAGCTCGTTTGCCCATGTGGTAGGCAAAGATCATGCCAAGGGTCAGCATGAAGACCAATCCAATCACCTGGTCAATCCTGATGGCCAGGTAGAACTCAGAGGGGATGTACTCCATGATTGCCGTGATCCTGTACCCCTCAGCTGGTAAGACCTGTGAGGCAAAAGTCAAACCCCACACAAGTCCTTCTGCGAGGCCCTTGTCCTCGGTGTCTTTCTTCTGTTTCAGCTTGTGTTGATGCGCATGGTAGTGGCGCTTCGAGCAGTATTTCTTTCCATCTTCTGCCTTGAGACCACATCCAGGTAGGAGACAAAGTCGGCATTCTTCCAACTCCTCCTCATCCATGTCGCGCACCGTGTAGATGCCTTCCCCGATCTTCTTTCGGTTTTCAAACTCTTGTGCAGCTCGATCAAGCATGTCTTGTTCTTCTTGTTTTTCCTCTTTCTTAACCTTCTTGGATGCAACACCTTGAGGGTCGTAAAGAAGGTTGTGCATCTTTCTTTTCAGTTCCATGGCAAGTTTCTGCCTTGCCGAAGTTTTGGTCATCCCATCAGCCAGTTGTTGATGGCTGTTGCACCATCGAAGCATTCCAGATGCTGCGGCCATTCTTTCACAGCTCATCTTGATCTCGATCGCCGTGCGCTTCTCGGTCAACTTCATGCCGGGCGCTTTGGAGACACTGGCGTCGTACAACGCTCTGGCATCTGTGATGCATGGGGATTCTCCAAGCCACTTCATGATGTCCTCGTTGTCAGGACGCTGGTTGGGCCAGATCATCAGTGCGAAAAGGCACTTCAGCCACTCCAAGGAGTCGACGGCCATGGCAAGCGTTTGGGCTTCAGCAGCAAGAGAACTCCTGCACACCCTTGTCAGTCGCTTTGATGCCCAGTCGATCACCGTCAGCGGAAATGGCTTTCCATTGTTGATCTCGTCCGTGTTGGCCACGAAAATCAACCAGCCGCCTTGAGAAGAACCGTCGGGTCTTGTGGCCCAACTTGCATCACAATACATTCCGAACCTGATGCGATGCAATGGTCCGTGGGACCTGAGCACCAAGTGGGTACTTGCCGTTTCTTTCGCAAACCTCAGAGTTTTGTTCACTTCCAGCAAGTCAGAGATGGTTGCCGAAGCAGTTGCCGATTGAGCCAGGGAGACCGATGCAGCCATGTGTGGTTGCGTTTGGAAGGAAGGCCAAGCAAGTGCACCAAGTAGCCCTCGAAGCTGTGACTGCTCTCGAGGTGTGACACGCTCGTTGGGCTGCTGTTTTCTGCTCTTTTCGATCGTCAAAGGTTTCAGCTGGTGGATGTACTTCTCGAGGTTGAAAGTGACCGTTGATCCATCCATCGCCTGCGTCATCTGTGTGCCGCAGAAGGTTTGTTGGTCATGGTACTCGATGGATCCAAACTTGAAACGGTGGAGAAGCACATGCAACCTTTCAGCAAAACAGCATGGGTGATCACCTTCAGGAGCTTTGGCATCTTCTGCGCTTGTGACCCATTCACCACAGGCCATGATGTCGTCCACGTGAAGTCCAAAAAGTCCATCGACGACGTAGCTCTGGCCGTCCATGTCAAAGACGGTGAACTGGTCATCCTCCTTGGTTGCCAAGCGCACAGAGATGTAGATGCAGCCGTCCAGCTCGTGCTTGAGAAGTCCAACATCAGTGATCAGAGCTTTGTCGGCTGTCTCGTTCCATTGTCGAGGCGCTCTGACATCACCGAAGGCTGGCTTTGTCATCTGCATGATTTCGTGCTCCTTCAGGCCGATCAACTCCGCAAGGAGACGTCTCATATCTGCCGAGGGTTCACCATAGATCTCAACCTCCTGATGGATGTAGTCGCTCTGCAGAAAGGCACTTTTCACATCCATGGTACCAATGCGCCATCGCTTGCTGCAGGCCATGAGCACCATCAGGTATTTGCCAAGTCGTGAGATCGTTGGTGATTCGGTGTCCAGCTTTGACTCCAAGACATCCTTGTGTTTGAAGCCTTGTAGGATCACCCTCGCATGAGGCTTGTCCTCCTTGTACCTGAGCAAGAACCGCATAGGAACAATTGTGCCCTTGGGGCATTTGTCCCTTCTCACAGCTCTCCATGCATCGTTCTCGGACCAGGGTGTCAAAGCCTTTCGTTTGGCTTCCGTGAACGCCTTCTTCTCTTCAGTGCCAAGTCGGCTCTCGACCACTGTCTGCAAAATCTCCTCCTCCGTGATCTCGGTGAGATGGAGCTCTTCCGTCTTGGGTTGTTTTGGCTTTGCCTGTCCATCTTCTTGGCGGCGTGGGATGCCGTCCAATCTTCGGTTGTTGTCTTCGGAGATTCTGCTGGCTGTTCTGATAGCCTGTTCCAAGTGGCGACCTTCACGCGCACGATCAGCATCATCTTCAGCTGGTTCCTGGTTGTTCTCTGCAATGGAGTTGTGTGATTCCATGATTCCAGGGTGAATCGCTGTGAGTCGGTCTCTGATCTCTGCCTGCTCAGGCGTGATCTCGAAGTCCATCGGTCGATCAGCAAACTGAGCAGATTCCGCAGTCTCACCAGGAGGTTCTGCCCGAAGTCCAAGTCCACTGGGTGAAGTCTTCTCCCGTTTGTGAGCTGGGAATTTTGCAGAGCTCTTGCCCTTGTCCTTGACAGGTGCTGGCAAGCGTTTCTTTGCCATTTGGTCCAAGTCAGTCTTTTCATCTTCCGTGCTCGCCTGTGCAGTTGTCGTTTCAGTGGTTTCAGTGGTTTCCATCGATGAGGCTGCCGCGGTTGCAGTCGGAGGTTGTGCTGGTTCATGTGGAGGGACTGCAGTAGCCGAAGCGGTGCCATCTGAAGTGTGAATGGAAGACCTACCCCCCAAAGAAGGGAAATCATCAGACGTTTGTGCACGTGCAGCCAAGTCCAAACCTCTGACAGGACCACGAACAGGACGCAAAGCGGCCAAAATTCTGTCTGCCAAGGGTCTTTGAAGATCGTTTTCAGCTCCAGGCTTGGCTTGTCGCTCATAGCGTTCAGGAACTGTTTCGTGCCTGAGCTGTTGGCGCGTTGTGCGCACCAGTGAGCTGCCATGAACCACCCAGTAGATGGTAGTGGCTCTGTCTGTGGTGCACTCCACAGCAATGACCAGTGCTGGTCCTCGCCATCTGAAGGGGTCCAACTTGTGAGTTTGAGGCTTCCAGTAGAAGACCCAGTTACCCACCATGAGCTCATCCTCTTCGATGCGTGAGCGATGGAGGGCAGCAGCTCTCAATGCCAAGTCCTGGTTGGCCTTGTGGAAGGCAATTGCAGCCTGTTGTTTGATCTCCATGATCCGTGGTAGATCAGCTTGGTCACCAAAAGCTTCAGAACCAGGCTCATCCATGACACCTCCCTCAGAGGGAACATAGCCAAATGCCAAAGTAGCTGGCGTTGAGCCCTTGACTGAACTCAGTCTGTTCCTCTGATGTGACGTCACCAGCAGCGCTTGCTCAAAGCTGCAGGATGGAACTTCTGCCTTGAAAGTTTCCAGCATCTTTCTCCTCACGGCATGGTTCCTTTCCAAAATTCCAAGCCGGTGATGAGCACTACGAGGGATCAGGTTCACCTTGATGCCATGGTTGGAGGCCCATTCTGCGAAAAGTTCATCTTGATGGGGTCCAGATACATCCATTCTGATGATCTTGGGGTAGCCAAAGCTCTTGGCCCATGTGGAGTCAAACAGTGCAAGCTCCATTTCGGCTGTCTCATCTTTGATTTCACAGTCGACCTCGTACCTGCTGAACTCGTCCAGGATGGTGAAGACTGCTTTCTTCTCTTTGTCCCACTCCACGTAGAAGGTGTCGATGGCCACAGTATGGTTGAAATGGGGTGCCTTGTGAAGTGTGGCAACCCGCACTGCCTTTGGCTGTGCTTTGGCAATGCACTGTGGGCATCGGTATCGTCGAGCCACCTGCACGTACTCGTTGGACATGTGGCGTGTCTTTGCAGCCAGGACCAGTTTGGCTCCATTGGGATGTCCGAGCTGTCTGTGCAGGAGTGCAACTGACTTCAAAACCTCGGGACCACCAATCTTCACCAGCTCCTTGTTCTGCTCCAGGTACTGCATCTCTTCATTGGAGTGCTCAACAAGCTCCAATGCCATGAGTTCGGCTGTGCCACGTTTGCGCCAGACCTCACCCATAGACTCGTAGATTGCATCTCCAAGTCTTCGAACCAAGTCAGGCTCGTAGTTCTGCATGCGCTTGAGTGCCTGGCCACGTCCCATCATTTGTATATGGCCAAGGGTGCATTGGCATCTCAAGTTCACAGCTTGGCAGACTTTTCGGGATGTAGATCTGAAACGTGTTGGTTTGCGGACATAGTGTGGATCATCTGCATCCAGCTTGAGTCCAGTGCGGCACCGATCCAACACAGTCTCGCAGTAGCCCCGCATCTTCTCCAAAGTCTCGGTTCTCCATGAGACCGCGTCAGCGGGCTGTTCAAGCGTGCAATCGTAGTAGATCTTCTTGGCGTCGCTGGGGATGTCTTAGTAGAACTGCAAGTGAGTGCTTTCTTCAAGGTTTCTCATGTCGGCCAGAAATGCTCGACACTCTGGGGTTCGGTAGTTCATGTTCTGCATTGGAGACCAAAGTCGGCACTCAGGTGCCACCATCACATGGTGTGGCTTCTCTTCAGCGACCAACTTGCGGAAGTCTCTCTGAGCTTCGTGCATCTCGAAATTCCATTGGGGAAGTGAAAACTGTCGCACTTCCACATCAGGGTATTTGGCCTGAAGATACTTGCCCAAGTTGCCCTCGTCGATGTAGACCTCCCAGAACTTGAGAACCCTTTGAGAAATCTTGCTCTTGTCGACCACCCGGTAGATCACCTCCTCGATGGTCTCTTCATCCACGTCGACCTCAAGATCCATCTCCTCGTCAGAGATGTCATCAGTCATGATGGTGTCGAGGAAAACCTCGTCATCAGCCGAGTTGATGTTCTTGACATTCAAGTCGTCGACATTGAGGATGTCCTGCAAGTCGTCGAAGATGTTGATCATGTAGTGGCCGTTCGCAGTGAAAACAGGTCGAATCTCAGCGCCATCCACGTAGACCAATTTCTTGCCATAGTTGACCATGACATTCCAGGCTTCCAAGTCAGGCCTGGCCAAAAGAAGGGGTGTGTGTCCCGGCAAAACATGAATTGTCAACTGTCGCCAGGTTCTTTCCACACAAACTGGGGTGTTGGCACTGAAGTGAGACCTCACTGTGACGCCATCTCCAAACCGGAAATCGCGAGGATCTCTGTTGATCTCAGCCTCCATGCCTCTCATGTTGAGGTAGCCGGCGATCTTGTCCCATGTGGCCTCTCCACAGACAGTTCTTGTTACACCACTGTCCATGATGGTCCATCCAACCTCTTGTGAGGTGATGTTGATCTCCTCATATTGATGGAACTCGCCAGGGACGTATGTCACCTCTGTGGATCTATCCTCAACCATGTTGGCATCGTCAGGAACCTCTTTGATTCCTGAGGCTGGCAAGCGATACCTCTTGAATCGTGGACCATGTTGTGCAGTGCTACCACTGGTAGTAGACCTTGCCGTCGTTGAAACCGTTAATCCCGATTCAGAGTTCGATCTGCGGCCAAAGACAAATCGTTTGGCACCAGGCAGGGGATGTGATCCTTTGGAACCACTGCCTTTCCCTTTGCTCTTGCCTCCTCCTTTTCCTTTTGACTTTCCTTTCGATCGCCCACCATGGTTATTGCGACCTTTCCCATAGGATTTTCCAGAGCCCTTGTAGTTGCCATCGCCCATGTCCAGCGCAACCACAGGGTAGAATCCTCTGGCGAGGGCCAACTCCCTCATCTTCTTCCTGCTGTCCAGGTAGTTGATGTAGGCATCTTCAACCACCAATGTCGCCTCATCCAATTCGGCGGGGATCTCCTCGTCACTGACGATGTTGTTGTTGTCAGCGTAGTAGGCATCGTCCATGTAGTCCTCCTCATAGTCGTTGGTGTAGAAGATCTCGTTATCCTCATAGTAGTATTCGTTATAGACCTCATCGTCGTACTTACCATCGACGTCGACCATGTGCACCTCGTGTTTGAACGTGGTGTCTTTGGAGTTGGGTTTGCTGTTACCTCCAAACATCTGGGTCAATGCGCGAGCCACCTTCTCCGTGGTGAGCTTTCCGTTGCACATAGACTTCACTTGTGGGTGTGTCCATCTCGGAATGCCAGCGCGCATCAAGAGATGCCAGCCAGCAAGTAGTGGAGGGACATCTACTTGCAAATCCTTCAACTTCTTGAGCATCGTCTGATGCCGGACAAGATATTGCTGAAGCTCCTTTTGTCGTTCTCGCTGGAATTGTTCGAAAAATTCCTGGGAGCGCTCTGGTAATTCAACTTCTTCTTCATGTTGAAAAAGCGCATCCAAGACCTTGACAATGGGCTCGAAGGGGTTGTCAGCCAATTCGATGTCATCCAGCTCGATGCTTTCAGTAGCATCCCAAGCTACATCTTGAAGTTGGCTGAGCACCAGGTAAGCACCTTCAACAGAGACAGTGTTGCCCCTTCTGCTGCATTGTCTGCTGAACAAGTCCAATCGCCTTCTATAAGCTCGATATGTTTTCTGTGTCAAGCCCTGTGCGGACGGTGCAGCCTTAGCAAGGCCGGAGTCTAAGCCTCTTTCGAAGCCACCTTGCCCTTGTGGAGCTGTACCTCCATTGGTCTGAGCTTGATCACCTTGCGCAGCAGTAGCGTTGGCGGCCGAAGCGGCCTTAGGCTGTCCACCTCCGTATCCACCTCCCCCAGGCATGCCCTCGAAGGAGTCCAAAGCGAGGAAGGGGTCAGTGAGGTAGCCAAAGCCCTGCGGTAGCCCGAACTGGGCACCGCTACCAATATCGATCTAGCCGTAGGGGAACCACAGGAAACACCAAGATGTCCACCGTCCCAACAGGCCTAGATCCCCAAGCTGCGTAGCCCACGAAGTCTGCGGCAGCGATGTCCAAGTCCTTTTCCGTTACCAGGAAGCGGTAAGTCCGCGAAGTGCCATGCGGTAGCTCCAAGGGGCCCCTAAGTGGCAGTTGGGCCAGATGGCCACAAGTCAAAGACCTTAGTCCTTGGAGCACCTACGAGATGGCAAATGTGAAAACATGACAACAGCATGAGCTATGTTGACAAAAATATATTATATATTTGAATTATTGAGGTATTAGGATGGGGACCTGAATATATTATAGCTTAAATATAACATGGAAATAAAAACCTGGCTGATACCCAAAACTAGAGCCGTTTATGGACCTAGACCCCGCTGTACAAACCCTAGAGGCCAAAAGAAGAAAAATTAAGAGGCATGCAGGCTAAATGTCCGGTATAGCTTGGCCGAGTTAGGGCCAACCAAAAATTGTCGGAAAAAACAAAGATATTTTTTATTGCCTTAGAAAAAAGCGGCCCTTACATACGGGTCGAAAATAACGAAGACCAAAAGAAATCTACATAACCATCCCAGCCGGTGTCCGGCAAACCATCCGTACAACGACCAAAGCTCAAGCTACGAGCTCAGCACGGCCCCTCCAGCTACGCACCAACACGCAGGTTTCCTGCAACAAAGGCGCTGCTGATGTGAGCTAAGGCTTGGGCCGCCTCCGGCGCCCAAGTACCCGTGGTTTCAATTACCATGGGAAGGAAGGTCACGTACTGGGCTGCACATATATCGGTTACCGACGCTTATAGGTACCATGCGTCTCCGCAGCAGACCATATGTCTTGTTTCCTGAACCACCAAGGGAATCCATACGCTGGGGTGCCGTGACGGCAAAGTCAAGTATAATTGGGCGTCCAAGGAAGAACGGAAAAAACACATCCGCAGGGCGGTGTCGGGCATTGGCAGCATCATTAGGTCGTTATGGGAGAATCAGGCCAGCCTTCTCATATTCAGGTCGAAGACATCCTCGTTCGGCCTAATTGAGAATCAGGTCACGAAGGGTGTTGTGGCGAAGTGTACGTTCCCCACCAATTATGTGCAGAATGGTATCGTATTTGGGGCGCCATGTGTCGGCAGTAGCTTCTGCAATGCCCAAACGGACCCGGATCTCAGCCACGAATACCGCTGGCTCCATGCGTGTGCGGCCAGACGGCGCACAGGTTAGAAAGGCCCGAGCACCAGGCGTTATCTCCGACAACAACATGGCTTTGCCAACGGCGGAAACTGCTTGGAATTGGGCCTGCCACCCAGCACTATTTATTCTGCGGCTAAGGTCCTTCTGCGTGAGCCTCAAGGCAGCGGCGGCAGTGAGCTGCTGAGTTGGGTCCAGGCAAGCGTTGAATACCGATAAAGTGGCGGCCATATGGTCTAATCAGTAGCCTCCATCAAGCTCACCACATAGTCGGGCACAAGCGCAAATTGAGACAAGCTAGGCACCTGATACATGGATCTTAGTGGAGCGGAACCCCAGGCCGCCTTGGCCCAAACCACGGCTTACTTGTTGCCAGGCAGAAGCCTCAATATGCAGACCAGTAAACATTCTTGTACCAGGTAGTTAAATTGTTCCAATGTATGTTCGTGCCCAGCGGGTGAGCAGCAAAGCATGGTATACACGAGCCTCGCATAACCAGCGGAAGTTCGCAGCAGCCGAAGGGCAAACCTGTGGATTTTCAATTATATCAATGGCTTCAAAAAATTTACGGATATCTTTAATTCGACCAGTGGTATACCTTTGCAAATACTCGGTCGGGCCCACCAATACCAGCCCCGAGAAATTCAAAATCATGGAGAATGCGATTGTTACCATCGGAAGTACGCACAAGTTGGGATGGTAGATTGACCGCAATGACCGCGGTAGGTATCATGCCCACCGCGATAATCTCATTTTTGTCCAAGTTCAATACTAAGCCAATTCGATCAGCAGCCTGCTAAAATTAAAACAAGGCAGCTAGCACCGTATTTTAATAAATAATTTAAAATAATTCTACATTTTTTTCTATAAAATAAAATTACTAACAAATATTTCCAATAAAATTCAAATTAGATTTATATTATCTTTCAAAATATTCCATTTCATAAATTTTATTTAGGCCCAAAATTCAAAATCAAAATTCCAATATATCCCAAATATAAATTAATTATTATAAATTTAATAAAATCAAAATCTATATAAATAATTTATTATAATAATTATATTTCAAATCCCATAATAATAAAATTTATATTATTATTATTATCATATAATATATTTAATTTTTATTTTATAAAATAATTAATATAATATAATAATATAATACCATGATTTTTATTTTATATAAAATATAATTTTTATTATTTTATAAAATGTTAATTCAAAAAATAATATTATTAATATAAATTTATTTTATATTTTATTTAATTATAATTAAATATATTTAAGTAAATTATTTTTAAAAGAAAAATATATATATATATAATAATTTAGAATTATAAATTTATAAATTAAAATAAATATATTAATTATGTTTTTAATATTTAAAGATATAAATTAAAATTAAAATATAATTTATATTCAAAATATATATATATTATATAAATTAAAATTAATATTATATTATACGGAAATTTCCAAAAAACATAATAATAATTCCTACCTAATTTAAATATTATAGATATATATATATATAGTATATTGGTATTGTTACCCAAGTATGTATGTAATAATAGGTTGTCGAGGAAATATAAAATAGCGGGTATGGATATAATTCTATGATTTCCTTTGTTTCAAGCATATGGTAAAAACCCAGAGTGGCTCAATCTACCCATGTCATTATTGTCGTCATCATGGCTAACAATTATCATAATATATAATCGTATGCAGCGTCGATTAATTAAGCATATGAAAAATCGACAGCCTCCGTGCCCGAGATGCTATAGGTCAAGGGCTGGTAGCTTGAACCTATATGTTTCCTATCCCGGATTGTCTGACCTCGAGCACAGCCTCCAGCACCTACTGTCCACCTCTCTTATGATGAATGCAAGCATTGGACATCACGGATTAAATTAGCTGCCCTTGTCAAACAATGCGATCTCTCCTGGTGTGCGAGCTGCCGACTCTTTAGGTCTGGGCTTTCTGGCTGAGCCCTGATCTTTCACTTCCACGTTTGGACCTTTCGGCCGTGCCCCCCTCAGTGGGGGGCGTCAGATCAGACGTATCACAGTATATGTTAAATACAATAAGCTGTCCTGATCCACGTCCACTCGCAGTGCTTCTCCCAGCGGACGATGCGGAAGGCGTCCGCAAACAAGTCCTGCCAACAAATCGGAAACAACAAGGGAATTTGAGGAGCAGAGATGATACTACCATCCTCACGCCCATTGACCGCGTCTAAGCGCTGTGGGAAACACGCTATCGCTCCAGCGGAAAAGCGCTGCAGGTTTGCTTCCTACAGACACAATGTTATGCGGGGGATGTGGAGAAGTTGGTCGATCAAATGACCAAATTAATTTTTATGACGTCAATCCTCGTATCCCCCAATTCACGGTGTAGAGCGTGGCTTCCATTTCTCGCGACAGGCGCGAGGAATCAACAGCGGCCGGGGATCGCAAAGTACCCGGGCAGAAGCAGATGCTCTTGGTCTAGGGCAGGCATGATTGACCCTGGTCACTATAAGATGTGGATTAGCGAATTCTGCAGTGTGGAGGTGGCCGCGCCTCTTGCTTGCCTGTACAGCGTCGGTGCTTGGATCGATGCTGCTCATGGACGGCGTTCCCGGTGAAGGGCTCTTCATGAAAGAAGATGGCACCTCTTGACCCATGCATGCATGTGTGTTGAATTGGGTGGCGAAATCGGATCGGAGGAAGATTAATATAGAACACGGGGCTTCGAGAAAATGATTGTGAGCAGAAACATGTGCCTTCGGCCTCATTGTCCTTCGCGGCAGCATCATCTGCAACAGGGAGACAGTTGGAAAGAAAACATGTGCCATCAAGAAGGTTACTGCACTTGAAGCTGACAGAGTGATTCAATGATGCCGCAAAACTATATAGATGCTTGAATGAATGGCGCGCCTACAAGAATGATCCGGGTTGTTCGGATCAATTTCTGGAGCGGCTGCGGCCGGACCTGACAGGAGCCAATTCGCATACGCGCACACACACCGGAACACAAACAAACGTCTAAAGAAGAAAGACACGTCTTAAACTTAGACCTGCCTTCTACCTGCGGCCCTTCAAAGGTATAGATGGGGAGCTGCTCCCGAGCACGCATCTGGACCTGCACACAAGAATATGGCGATAAGATTGCATGGTGTGAGATATATGATGGCGCCAAGGGCATTGGAGAAGATCGCCTTCTCGGACAAGCCACAAAAGAAGTCGTAAAATTTGCGACTCCCCGACGAAAGACAGAGCCCCCTGTCCCTCCTGACGGGTGGCACACAGCCCACATCTGACAAGCACTGTTTACAAGGAATTGGCAAAGGACATGAAAAGAAGGCTTCACAAGCGTCTCATCACGGCGGTCAGGACCTTGTAGCCGACCCGCTTAAGGACAAAGTCCTTTCCCCGGCCCTCGCGGGGGGCGGGTCGGCAGCGCAGAGGGCTTCCAAGAAGGCCCTATCCATCGTGATCTTCGCCAGCCTTGGATAGCGATCGATCGCGGGCGATGGCAATCGGTTCAGAAAGCGAGCCTTGGAAGACAGGCACCACGCACTATACCAAGGCTGCATTCAACGCATTCGGGCTGAGCTAATCACCCTTGAAGGCGAATTCAGGCGACTTTCCACTTCATTTTGCGAATACATTTGACAGCAAAGCAAGCTTTGAAATGCTCTAAATCTGCTAGGGACTATAAACCTACGAATACTTAAAAACATGAAAAAGATATGAAAAAATAAAACCCGAAAATGTAACTCTTGATGTAAGTTCAAAACAAATATGAAACATACAAATCTGAACAGGAAATTGTTCATGTGAGCTGAAACACTGTGAAAACTATAAATCTAAAAATGCTACTTTTTTATGCGAACAAAAAGAACACGCAACCGAAAAAAAAAGAAATTGCAGTTTACACTTTTTGGTGTGCTGTGCCTGCCAGGTGCATTTTTCACATTGTTTTTTCCATTTCAAAAATTCTGATTTGTCAGTCGGATTTTTTCCTTTTTTAACGTTTTCAAAAATTCCGATTTGCCAGTGACATTTTCTCAGTTTGCTGTTGTGCTTTACATTTTTTACGGATTTTTTCGTTTTTTAACATCGCTTACAATTTTCAAAGTGCCATTTGCCAGTCGCATTTTTTCACCGGTTTAAAAATGGCAATTTGCCAGCCGCATTTTTACATATGTTTTACATTTTCAAAAATTGCGATTTGCCAGTCGCATTTTTTTACATTGCTTTGCATTTGGAAATTTGACAAGTTGCATTGGTTTTTCTTCCTGTTTCTAAAAAAAAGGGAAATGAAAAGGTTACATGTTTTTCGCCTTTCTTTTCTTTAAAAAATGCAACAAAAGTTACATTTCTTTCTTCCCTTTCTTACCTCAAAAAAATATATATTGAAAAAGTTACATTCTGTTTTTTTCATGGTGTAATTTTGCATTTTGGGGCTTTATCTTTCTTAAATTTTGGTTGCATATGTTATAGACTGTGGCTACGCGGGGCTTTTCAAAGCAAGCTGTCTGTTTGGCCTGGGCTCCGGACAGTCTCAACCCAGCGCGTGTTGACTCACTGAGAGCAGAAGCGCTGCCATCTGTCTGGAAGTCTTCTACCTCAATGTCTGTTTTGCAGCTTTCTTGACAAGCATGCTTTCGCAAACCCCTTTCTGCTTTGATGCCATGGTTTGATGCATGCCCCATTCGAAGTCAACACTGAGTGGCCAAATCTTTTTCTCCGCATCATGATTCGACGGTGAAGAAGTCATAGTTGCAGAAAGAAACTGCACATGCCTCACCACAGTAGGGCTACCTGAATATTTCTAAATTCTAAGGTTTGATGCGTGGCAGCGGCAGACGCCAACCTTCAAAAGAATTCAAACCATCTACAATTTACCGTTTGCTTTCTGGTCTGCGCTGACGAGCTGCAGGCGAAGCATTACTATCACATACTGTCAAACGATCCGCGAGCTCATGGGATTTGCTGTGAAAAACGAGGAAAGCGGCTTTGAATTCGACGCAATCTGGCAACTTGCGCAGGATGTCCAAACTTCAGGAGACACTGCCTCTACCGTAATCTGTGCTAGTGTCCGCGCATACACAGAGGGACCGCCGGTGGTCAAAAACTAGCAGAAAAACTAATGTATATGGGTTTGTCTGAAAATAGTGTACCCCTAAACCCAATGGTTAATGATCATTATCCCTATTAAATGGCTATTATTGGGAATATACCCTATTTTCAGACAAACCCAAATACAAATCCACAACATTCCCTTCCAAACGCCAAAGTCTGAAGTGCAGCATGGGGACAAGTGAACTGGAGCAATCGCGACAAAATGCAACGAGCGAGCATCTCTACTAACGCCAGCGCCGAATCACCCACAATAAAATGCGGATATGTGTGACTAAATTGAAGATGTAGATGATCAAACTGACAAAATGACATGATTCCTTTCCACGTCATTGTTTTGACCTGTTGAGGTTTGATACCAACAGTGGAAGAAAGGAAAATGTGCGCGCATTTCTTCATGGAAACATTGCAGAAAGAATGTACATGAATCTGAACTGCAAGTATCTTTGTATATGTGTATGTTACTTGAGAAAGTCAAGAGCCTTGCATCAAGAGCATGTTTAAAAGCTTCTTGAGAGAGTTAAAACCGTAGCATCAAGAACG